GATAACTTCTTTGTTGTATTCCTCCCAGCCAAGGAGTCCAACCTCCTTCTTTTAAGCAGGGTCAGCAATTAATTCAAACCAGCTCGCTCAGGGCTCTTTCCAGCCAGATCTTGAAAACTATCAAGGAGAGAAATACTCCACAGCCTCTCTGGGCATCCTATTCCAGTGCTTAGTTATCCTCATAGTTCAATGTTATTCACAAACTTGATTAATGTGCATGACATTTCCTCCTACAGATCATTGGTAAAGCTACTAAGATAGCTTTACCAAACCCCTGAGGAGCTGCAGTTGTATCCAGCCTACAGGTAGAGTGCAATTACTTTTCAACCCCAGAATCCAGACTCTTTTTGGTCATCTGGTAGTGCATCGATCTAGACCACAATGGCCAAACTTGGATACAAGAATATTGTGAAAGACCAGCTTGAAGATGGTTGCAACACTTGCCCTTCTTCATTCATCTGCGACTTCCCCTATCTCCATGACCACGATGGTAGAAATCAGCTTTGATGTGCCATTGGCCAGCTCTCTTGTCACTCTCAGGTGTGTCACATCTGCTCTCATGGATTTGTATGAGTCAGGATTTCTCAAGAGATTCGTGAGATCAATCCTTTTCTGCTGTTGGTATTTCTTCTTCTCCCTGAACCTTATCTGTATGTGTAAAGGCCTGGGAGACCTTGTTGGTGAAGACCCAGGCAAAGAATGCATTAAGTAACTCAGCCTTATGTGTATCTGTTGTGCTTTTGCCTCCGTCAGCTGTGAGCCTGCATTTTCCTTGTTTATTCCTATCATGTAGCAGTAGAAGTTCTTGTTGACATGTTTCTTGCCAATCTCTACTATACCTGACCTTCAGCTTTGCTAATGTCATCCTTGCTTGTCTGGACAATGTTTCTGTATTTCTCCTTTGTAGCATTTCTCCTTGCTTCCATCTCTTTTATACAATCTTTTTATGCTCATGAATTCCGTTTTTAGCCAAACCAGACTCTCTGTGCATCTACTTATTCTCCTCAGTATTGTGATGGACTGTTATTTTGTGTGTGGGATGTTGTCTTTAAAGACCTTGAAGGCTGCCTTTCATAATATGCTATCAGGTCCCCAAATCAACTGAATTCTGCTCTTGTGAAATTCAGAGTTTGCACTCCTTTACTTGCCTTCCTCATTCCTCGTGGGATCCTGAACAGCATTGGTTTATGGCTGCTACAACCAAAGCTGCCAGAGATTACCACCTCTCCAGTCAGCTCTCCCTTGTTTGTAGTAGATCAAGTCAATCATTCTGATTGATTATCTGGTATTTGTTTTAAGAGCTTGTCCCTAGTATCCCCCACAGGTCATCTGGATTGCCTGTATCCCACTTTGTTCGCCTTTTTGCAGATAGCAGGAGATGGGAGTCTCCCATAGGAATCATCTGTGATCTACAGATGTCCTCAAGTTGCTCAAGAGCACTTCTTTAACTTCCTTCTTCTGACTGTGTGATCTGTAGCAGACTCCCACCATGATGTCATTCTTGGTAGCTTCTCCTCTAATCATGGCCTCCAAGCTCTCAGTCAGTCTACTGCTTGTTTTACAGAAGACCTCCATATCTTTGTGCTCCTTCAGGTAGTCATGTTCTCATGAAAACAGGCTTCCAGGCAGGAGAGAAAGAACCAGATCAGTGCTGTCAGCAAGGAGTCTGCAGCATGGACCTGAGTGTCCAAGAGTGGCAGCACACAGAGCTTAGAATAAGACACAGCATCGTGCAGTTTTGAGCTGTGAAAAGGAGATGGAGGGTAATGGAGGACAGTTTAGGAAAAATATTTGTAGGCACACTGCTCATTTTCAAATTGGACATGGTGGACAGAAACAGTGGATATAAAGTAATAAAGCAAGTGTTTAGGGCACCATCTTGTCCAAAATAATACAAGAAACTTGCCAAAAGACACGTTCCTTTCAATTTGAGTAAAAAGTGTTGCTTTTATAATATTCTATAAACAAGCTATTGGAGAGTGAGATTTTCAGACAAGGGACTTGAAGGGAGAGAGATCTGTTCATAACTTACTCTTTTGTGCCCAGGTATTTTAACATCTGGAATGTAATGCTGCCTGTTGTAATACCTCCGCAATACTGTAACACAGCAGGATGCATTAATGAGAGTTTCAACCTTAAACCCACATCATCAATGAAATTTATAGTTGTCAGGCTGTTAACATTATTCAAACTTAGTTTTTGTGGTTTCAATTCCCATTTTACATTCATGTAGGAAGAAAAGTCATTGTGTTGAGTAGCCATGAAGACAGAGTCCTCCTTAGACTAGAAATTTCTACAAAACAATTAAGTATTATTTATTACTCTTGACAGCATTCATAGTATGCACTACAGGGCCAAGGAGGGGATTTGTATAACAAATTGGACTAGAATCTGTCTCTTAATATTTAGCTGGTTTTGTATTCTTGAATACTGAAAGTGCCTTTGCTCATGTTTTGGAAAATACCACAAAAATACTCAAAGCAGAAAAGAAAAAATTACGTAAAATTCTCATATTATCTTCTACAGTCATATAGATGCCATCTGGTATTCTACCTGATGGGTAAATTTGTCTTCAGACATTTCATGTTTCCCTACTCTTGTATCTCAGTGTGGTTTTTTCACTTAATATGTAGAGTAAATTAGTTAAAGAGCACAAAAAAAGAGCAGAGAATTTCTTGGAGGAAAAAAAAAATCAGGAGGAAAATGTGGTGAGCACTGTGATTAAGTCACTCTGCAGAAAAATGAAATCGTTAAATCTGCAACAGATTAAGTTGAAAGAAAAGAAGGGAAGTTAATATGTAAAAAAGTGCACGTACGGTTAATCTTTCTGGTAAGAAAAATCCAAGTGGTTTCTCCTGGAAAAAAAAAAAAAACTAACAAGCACACACAGTTTACAAAGCTCTGAAGTTTGGGTGGACAGTTGTGTGGGTTTTTTATTATCATAGGCTTCATGGTAATTTCAGCACAATCTCAGGAAGTAGTAAAAATAAATCTATCTGTCTCTTACTGTATCAGTCTGAGTATTAACAACTTCCCCATGTTGCGTCCATTAAAGAATTTCTTCATGGCCCTTAAAAGTACAAACTCGGTCTCTGCATTTAATATGTTGTTACCTGCTGCCAAGCCTCTAATGCTGCATTCATATATTCTGTTAATCATATCTCTTTGTTCTAGAAACCTGTGTTTTGGATTCATAATTAACTTTTTTTCCTACTCTGATTATTTTCCTCCCATCATGGCAGCACATGACCTTTTCTTTTTCCTATTTAAAGCCAGATATGTGAAGGGAGAAGTAACAGAAATCAGTGTGTTTCAACAAAGCCTGTAATCTCTTCCTAACTGTGCTTCCAAATTTAAATTAGATTTTCATGTTGCAAAACCATGAACTTGGTGTTTTAACTGAAACCACACCATTCCCAGAAGACAGAGCTAAAGCTTCATGAGCTACGGAGGATTTTCCCGTAGGTCCCAGCATAAAAGGTATATTTTTAATGTTAAAGGTTGGTGGTAGATAGGTGAGCCTGGTCTCAGGGTGTAATCCATAGGATCCCAAGGAAAAAATTATCAAGCTATATTTCATGTAAACTGGGAGGGGACTGGCAAAGAGATCTTCTGCCTATTGCTCTTTGACAATGTCTCACTGATTCAGGAGTTACTTGCAAAAACATTGTGGAGCCTGTTAGAGCTTTTCTCAGTTCAGGTTCAAGTATTCCTAATTATTGAAGGCATTTGTGGTCCAAACTCTGCTTGGGCCCTTCCATTTTCATCATCATGAAAGCAAAGTGAGCTGTTTGAAAATGCTCTGAAACCTTGGGGATCCCACTTGCATTTTGCTACCAGTACAGCCCCAGTTACTGAAGCCCTGTTTTTCAGCGTGCAGAGTCAGAGGGATGATAGTTCCTTAGCTTGTCACCTGCCTAAAGATGTGTGTCTGTGGGCAGTGAGGGGACAATTCTGCTTGCAGCTGGTCCTTGCTGCCTATGGATACTTGACTGATCGCAGAACTTGTAACACCTTTCATACATATCTGGAATTCAGAGGAAATAATTTTGAATGTTATTCTCTGCTGATTTGGACTGTGCTTATCTCCAAGACAAGATTGCATTTACATGAATGAATAACGTGATATTTGTGCTCACGTTTGATGTAGACTTGCAGGCTATACATCACTTTCCAGGTTTACCTTGCTGGCAACATTCTGAATATCTATTTTATCTGCTGAATAACTTCCTGACAGTGTGAAACGGAGGAGGATCATAGTACAGTTCAGATCTGGTTTAGAGTGTCTTGAACGAAGTTCTCACAGTAGGGATTTTTTCTTTTTTTTTTTTTTTTTTTTTTTAAGTCTACCACTGACTCATTTGGTGGTGTTAAAGTGCACTTTCTACTTATCCCCAGAGGAAAGTTAGTATTCTTTTAAGTGAAACTATTTTAAAAGCAGAACACAAGCCTAAAATAAGCCAGTGTTCTCTAGAGTTCTCAGAAGGTGTAGATTTATTTACTGTAGTTAAATCATAATTAGTTCTCAGGGGATAGTGTATCTTTTAAACTGCTTTATTGCCACCGTATTGGTTTTCTAAATAATCAGAAACTGCTGCTCTTACATTCTGTAGTATGAACAAATATTTGGTCTAAGTAGAAACAAATGTCTAGAATTGCTAGTTGTCACTTACTGAAGATAGTGACATGCAAAAAATAAGCACTTCAAGAAAACATGAAGAAATACAAAACGTATGTTATCAGAAGGCACCTGAAGTGAACTATGGCTATAACTTTTTCCAGCGTAACAGATATAGTAATGTTTTACATCATCAGTTTCCAGTTAATCTTTTTTTAATATTCTAATGCTTTTTGATCAAGAATAAATGTTAACTGAAAACGGGCAAATGGTAGTGCAATATTAATGTAAAATATGACCTGATATTTAAGCCTAGATTTTCATGAATGTAGCTTAGTGTTCCAGCTGATAAGCACAAGGTGTTTTTTTTCCTAATTGGCAGGTTAATGTTCGAGTTGCCTGAGGAGATGGGTTTAATAGCAATTGCTGTTCGACAAACACAAGGGAAAGGTAAGTTTCCTTCTAGTGCTAATAAATGTGTATTAAATATATGAAATAGGACATTTTAATGTCACTTGGCTGCCTCAAAGTCACATTATGAGTGGTTTTAATAATATAATCTATAGAATAATTGTGTCCTCTACCCCTCTTGAAATGTGGATTCAAACTCAAAACCCAAGTTAATAGAGACCAAAGTAAACATTTTCAGGATGTTTAGTGGCTTTTGCAAAAATGATTTAGTGGTCTTCTATTTTCTGCCAAAAAGTCTCCCCAGTCATGGAAACTGCCGTCACCACATTTAGTGTAATACAAGTCAGACTTCCAAATCGGAGCTCCTTTTTGATTTAACTGGAACAAGACTGGGTCTTTACTTGCTCTGAGATAGACATTTCTTGAGTCTGAAGGACCTGCCTGAACTGTCGTGTGTGCTTTCACAATCTTTTGCAGATAAATATAAGCAAGTTCTGTCTCTTTCCCAGGAAGGGTCTAGCTTTGATTTAAAAGCCGAGTTCCCAGGCTAATAAGCCCTTCTGAGCACAAATTGATACGAAAATGGTTATCTGGCCTTCACTACAGATCCAGCTTGTGTCAAGCGACTTCACAATGTGGATGCATTTCTAGACGCACACAGAGCATTTTCACAAATACTTCTTCACTTAAAGCAAGGGTTTTTTTGAAATGTGTATAACAGGCAAAGCCTAGAAGCAAGTAATTTAGGACATTCTAGGAAAATGAGTAGCAGCATGCACATTAAACAACCTGCTGGATGTTTTTTTAAATAAAAAGCTTTTAATTTTAACCACTATTCTTTCAAAATCCGTTTGGAAACTCCATTACAGGACATTATGATAGATTCTTGAATGAATACTGTTGTATCTTTCTTGTTTGTAGTTGTCTACATGAACAAAGTGACCTTTTTTATAAATATATTTTTTTTGAGTTGAAGTTAACATTTTTTTTCTCTGTCTCCTGAGGTCGTGGTGGAAATGTTTGGCTGAGTCCTGTGGGCTGTGCACTATCTACTTTACATATCACCATTCCTCTACATTCCAACCTGGGCCAGAGAATTCCTTTTATTCAACACCTGGTGTCCTTGGCAGTGGTAGAGTCAGTTAGATCGATACCAGGATATGAGGTATGTCGTTCTGATTTATCTCCAAAATTACTGTTTCCATTTTCATTCATTTCAGATTTAACTATGTCTTCTATGTGTAGAATGACTAAATGCATAATATAGTTCTTGAGCACTAATGTAGTGGTAAACTTAGCCTTCATATGTGCTTGATTATATGTTTTAAGAAATCTAGTATACATCTGATGAATACTGGCTTTTACTCAGCTAATTAAGTATAATACACTCATTTAGCTCATAATCTTATGAAACTTAAGACTCAATCTTCAGCAGTAAAGAAAACATCAATTTTGTTTGTCTAACAATTGAGTTAATTTGTTTTGATTTTGAAGGAGCTGGAGGAGAGGGAGGAGGGAAAACGTGAATAAAAGTGACATCCTTTTCTGCCTTTTTTTGTGGGTGCTGTTTCAGTGGTCACTTTATTCGTTTTAAAGGATTTTTCCAACCATTGGTTAAGGTTGAAAACTGATTTCAAAAGCAAGGACTTAGGAGTATTGCTCTCGAGAGGGAATCAAGTGTCCTGTCATCAGTATTAAAATGAAGAACCAGTCTTCTTCATCACATCATATATCTTCTTTTTAATGTTACTATTTCCTAATATTTGCTAACTATAAAACTTTGGTATTTTACAAAAGTAGTTAACTGAAGCATATGTTTCCTATATTACAGAAAATCAATGACTTATACACATTTACACATGAACTTTATTATAGTGGCATCCAGTAGCTTTGCTGTAGTTTAGGGTCTGTCAGCCTTTCTATTAAAACCTTCTAACTTCAGTGCTTCATAACTTGACTATAAAAATAAAATGCTTTAGGCTAAGCTTTTCAATATAAAGTATTGTGAATAATTTAACCATTTAAAATAAAAGGGTCAACAGTTTTATAAAATATGAGTCTAAGTGGGGAAGGAGTTAGTTTATGAATGGAGGTGGGTTTACTTCTGTACACCTACCCTGGTGTACTGTGGCTTTTTTATTTTATTCCATTCAAGAGGAAAAAGGTGACTGAAATACTAAATGTTAATTTACAGATAGTATGTATCTTTAGTACATAGCACATGTACAGTATAGAGCTCGCTACAGCCAAGACAAAACTACTGAATCTCTTTGATAGTACACCTACCCTAGACAATGGGTGAAACCAATGTTAAGGGTCTGGAGTCAAATACATTAAAGCAAGAAAATTCAAAGATTTAACAGAAGCCCAGTGCTTAGATTTCCCTTTCAGGTTTGGGTAATGCAGGGCTTTTCTTTGTGTCACATGAACATTCCTGCCATGCAGACTGCAGTAGCTGCAAACTGCAGCCAGTGGGCCAGTCTGTAGATGAGGTTTCATTCTCTCCTCCAAATTTCCATATTTCTGTGGCTATATCTAGGAATCTTAATAATACTCTAACACAACTTAATGTCATTCGCTATGCTCAAAGTCCATTTCAGAATTTCCATTCAAAATTCTGAAATATCTGTGTCACAGATAGTCATCAGCCAGACATTATTTTTAGGGTTGCCATGAATGCTGACTATGTTAAACAGGCAGCAACTGAGGCCTTTGTCCTGGGTCCTCACAGAGAGAAAATCTGACCACTCAATAGGAAGTTTTTCTGTCAGATGTTAGTGCTGCAAGTGCAGATGGGCCTTACATCGAGAGAAAGCTTTTCTTTCCTATTCTGAGAACAGCAGACATCTCTCTCTAGTAAGTGAAGATAAGAATGTACTCCGTTTCCAGCCTATTTTGTGACATCCATAATTTCTTTGACACGTGGGTAGTTGTGCAGTATCTTGTAACTCCATTTTGTGGCAAAGTCTCTGCTGTGTAGTTGACGTCATGAGAATACCCGGCTGCCTTGGTTGTTCTTCATGCTTGCTGTCTCTTCAGTTACAGAGCTAGTGTCTGGTGTCTTACAGGTGTATGTTCTCCTACAGTGAGATCTACTGAATTGCTCTTTGGAAATTCTCTTAACACTGATAATACCATTTAACTGTGTCATACTTTGCATGTCTCAAGACCCTTCTATAAATCTTTTCCCAGTGCGAAGAGTCCAGTTGTTTTCCATAATGAGTATGAATCAGTGATACTCTCTTATAGAATGTATTTTGATAGTAAAATCAGGTAGTATTTCCTGTCAATGTACGTGTAATGGACTCCTCTCTGGCCTTTAAATCTGTCAGGAAAGTAGACATGGACCCAGGTGCAGTTTTCACACATCCTGTAAAGGGATTTCATAATCTACAATAGGAGGGAATGTGACTCTTGTAGTCCTGGAGAACCTCCCATAATTTGCCTCTGGGGATAGAGTCATATGCAGTTTTTCAAACTACAGGAAGCACATTTGCTTTCTTTGTGTGTTTAAGTAGCTGGTGCAAAGTTCAGTTCAGTTCTGTGGTTTCAACAAAAACTTCTCTATTGCATTGGAAGGTTGTCACACAGCACAGTTTGTGTTTCCAACTCCATGGTGTTGCTTGAGTGTAGCTGCCGAAAGCGTGAATATATTTAGGATGTCACTGAACTATTTACGTAGTTGTGAACTGGAATTTCTCCTGTCTGCTAAATTTCCTTCCTGAAATTCAAGATGTCGTTGTCTCCTTAGCTGCTTTCTGCAAGGATCCTCAAATACAGTGTTCATGTTATTGTGGGCCTACCCTGACTGCTTATCAGAAGCAAGCCATGTTGGCTGCCACAGTTTGCGTCTTCTTGAATAGATCTTTTAAATCTCTAATAAGCACTTGGGAATGAAGGACATGAATTCTATAAAACCTCACAATTTTGAGACTGAAAACCTCTAGTATATTTAGTCCTCTTTTTGGCCACTCTGAGCCTTTATTATCTGCCATAATTTTGAGGGTTGCTTTTTTTTTTAATAAGCAGACACTTCCCTCTGTCAGCTGCCAACCTCCTTAGTAACCCATGTAACCATGCTGCTGTGATTGTTTCAGTAACATTCGTGAGCATTTAAACAGGTTCTCATTATGATGAGTAGTTGACAGTATCACATTCACTGTGGCAAAGAGGTACAGAAAATACAGAATATGGAGAGATGAATGAGCCATGTTCTTATAATCAGTATTGAGGAGCAAAGTCTTTCTAAATGTATGTTTTTGTTTCTTTAGGATATTGATCTGCGAGTCAAATGGCCAAATGATATTTACTACAGCGATCTTATGAAGCTTGGTGGAGTTCTGGTAAACTCTACACTCATTGAAGCAACATTTCATATACTTATTGGTAAATGTCTATTTTCAAGCTTTTCTGTACTGTTTGTTTTTTTTTTCTGAAGAAATTTGTTAGTAATGTCTTTATGAGTTCAAATGATAAGAACAAGAACAAGTAATGACAGCAGGCATAAGGAAATAAAGCACAATATTAAATCGAAAGGAAACACAAAAATAAATGTTTTCCTTCTTCTTAATGATTCCATATGTTTGACAAGAAAAAAGCAAATGGCAGTATCTGGGCTTATGTAGTGGAGTTCAAAGAAAGAGCATTATAGGAGAGAGGGAAAATGTCCTCCTTGATCTATTGCAAAACTAGTAGAATGTACTGAGAAAAGTCTCTATTTTTTTCAATATTTTTTTTTTCCTGACATGACAAGTACTTAAATAAAGAGCATGTCTTAAATCAGGAGAAAAAGAGCTACATACACATAGTAATGTTTTAATTTCTCTTTTCAGCCTTTTAAAATTTATTTATAACTTGCTTCTGTTGATACCTTTCTAGAAACTGGGAAATTGCTAGTGAAGCAGTAATGAAGTAATGATTTGATTGATTAATTAATCACTGTCTTTAGTTCTCTCAAAACATAAAATTTGCAAAGTTGTCAGAAAGACTAGGTCACAGAGCAAAGAGTGACAATCTTTTTGTTCATTGTGAAGACAAATAGCCTACCTGGAAAGCTGGTTCCAAAAATTTAGTGCAGGCAGTCTCAAAAAGACTGTATGTGTATTTTCCAGGAAGTCCCAGTGCTGTAACAGGGGAAGTCATCTAGGTGCAGAAACAAGTATTGTTATATTTTTATCATTTGAAGTCTGTTAATCATCCTGCTGTTTGTTAAGGAAAGCTTTTCCTCCAACCAGCAGCAGCAGAAATCTGTCAGATGTGCTTAGAAACCTGCCAGCAGAGCTCTAGGTTCTGATTCCAAAAGTAATTGTCTCTGCTATGTCTAGAAAGTTAAATGAAAGTTCCTCAGCAAGTCTAAAAGGTTAAAGGTGAAGATGATAATATTTGGTTTATATTTTAATGTAGCACTGTAAAGTATCTTGTGATGAGAATGTGAACATGCTATTGTTTCTGTCAAGGTGCTGTAAATTTTAAGGTGCAAACAAGCAAAACAGTTGAAGTAGTCATCACCTCCTTCTATGAAATATGCCCAGCCATTAAATTTTCTGTTCAATTGTTATATCCTCATTTTGTAAATAACCTAGATGTACAATATGGAAGTTGCACCGAGACACTTAAGAAGTCTCTCTGTGCTCTGTCAACTATTTACTGCTTCCATATGTTTTTCCAGAGCCTGCTATGGTTAACAGAAGAAAAGCAAGAATGGCTCCAAAAATAGTTCATCTTATCAAGTACCACTTTGTACATTGCATATTTGGGTTGGACCATGTGTTTCTTACCCTAAACACTAAAACATTAAAATTTAAATGGATACTTTCTGTATGCATTCTTTCTGGTGTCCATAGGAGTCATCTTGGTGGTGATAGATCTGAGGTGTATAGAAACATGCACATTCTCATCAGCTTTCTTTCACCTGCAAGCTTCTAAGCTTGAAACTTACTTGCCACATACTAGTCCAAGGAACTTTTCCAGCATTTCAGTGATGAGTAGTGGGGGTGACCCATGACATCTAACTTCTTGTATTGGTAGTAGCAATGAGGTCAGACTTCCACAACAGGAAAGGTGAGCCACATATATCATCCCCTTTCTACAGTCATGCAGATTCCTTACCTAGACATCACTGTTTACATGGCAGTCATAAAGAGTATCCTGTAGGGTAATGATCAAAACCAAACATTGCCTACATGGCTTCACTGCCTTGAGAAGTACCTCAGAAGAACAAGGTGAAGGACAAACCTACTTTTTCACCTGTCCTGCGTGCTCAAGACCACACAGGTGACACAGTTCATGTTCATACTTTTAAACATGGTGGGGTTTTACATTTGTTGGTTTTAAAGAGCTTAATTGTTGCAGGACTTCTGCAAGAAGAGTTCTGCAAAAGAATATGCTGCTTTAATGTAAGGGCCAGGCTCAGAGCAGACGTCGGTAGCCAAACACGAGCGGAATGCAGGGGACAGCCAGCGTGCTCGACCTGCACACGCCCCGTCTGCCTCTCTGTGCAGCGAAGGCGTGGCCGAGTGGGGCGCAGATGCCGAAGGCAGGGCTAGCTCTAGGGCTGGAAGATGAATTAGCCACATCAGCACGCTGCAAGATCAGGGCTAAGTGCTTGTTTTTCACTCTTCTCACATGGGCAATGCAGAGATGCCCTAAGAATCCTGAGCACCTAATATTTTTTAGATTAGCTGGCTACGTTTTTGCCACCACATTTATCCTCAGATGCTTCTCCCTCAGCTGGGCTTGTCATCTCAGTATGTCTGCCTTATCTGTTTCAGTTTTTGGATTGCTAAGTAGTGATCACCATAAACATAAAGCTGAATGCCCTGAGCCTACAGATGGACTTCAAGACCCCATTACGCACCCTGACAGTGTCAATCACAGCCTGATGGCCACGGTCACTCTCTCTGCGCTGACACTGTCTTTGAGTGTGAACAGCTGAGCTGGGATCTGATGGCATGGCACAATATAGTTTCCAGTTCATTTTCCTTTGTCTCTTTCCGATAAAACATTTTACCTCATTTCCATAAGATCGATGTATCGGGACTGGTATCATCAAGGCTTTCTTTGCATGAATTCGCTGATGAGTTAGAAGTTGAAGACTCCTTTTCAATGAAGAAATCCTTCTCATAGTTAATATTAGTTAGTTCCATATATGAATAGCCTTATCGATGGCAAATTTGAAAAACAGTGCATCTGGACCTTCTTGCAGATGGAGGTGTGTCATGTCTAAATCTGATTGACAGATAAGTGTTTTATCCCAAATGCCTGAGGAAAGAAAAATCCAAATTATTAGGAGAAAAAAGTAAACAGGTAATACAATATATTTCTTTACATCCCTCAAAGCCTGTTTCAGCAGGCTACAAAACAGGCCCCAGGAGCCATATTTAAATAAGAAGGGCATTCTGCCAACGTTATTCTAGCTGGAGAAATCTCAGTGAGAGACTTGAGGCTTCTAAAGGATATGCTGTGGTGAGATAGATTAAGCAAACTGGAGTCTTACACGGCAAAGTTAACTCTTCTAGGCTTTTCAGAGCAAGCCAAACAAGGCTTATCAGCTGAGTAAAAAGGTTTAATTTTGATCAAACACTAACTGTAGTAAACAGAAGGGTCTCTTAATTAAAATTGTAGACTGAACGATAAGACTCCATCTTAGAATATCATCAGTGATTTACTCTCAATTTGCTAATGACCTGCAGCTTCCAGGGAGTAAAAGAATTTCTCACTTTGATGTTACTGTAACCAATGTGCAAGTTACCACTGGCCACCTTCCTAACCTTCTTTGATAGGGTGGTGTGTTGTTGAATGACTCCACTGGATTTGCTTCTACAGTTCTGAGGAGGCATTTTAAGGACAAAGAACAAGTAAAATCTTGACTGAGATTTGTATTTGCACAAGCAGGATGGTTTAAAGGTGTAAGAGACTGAAGAAAAACGGCTACTGGAAACATCCTTAGAGATAATTGTATCAAGTGCTTGAATAACGTACTGACTTTCTGGTGGTAAGGAAGTGTTCATATTTACAGATCCTGTCCTCTTCTTTTGATTTGTCTTCCTCAGGCTTTGGATTTAATGTGAATAACAGCAACCCCACCATATGCATCAATGATCTCATCACAAAATTTAATAAGGAAGAGGGGACAAAGCTGAAGCCTTTAACTGCAGACTGTCTTATTGCAAGAACTGTAACTGTGCTAGAGAGGCTTATAGATATTTTTCAGGAGAAAGGGCCCAACGGAGTTCTTCCCCGTTACTATAAGTACTGGGTACACAGGTAAGTATAATGTTCTTGAACTTTTAATGAAGGTGAAGAGAACTCATGGATGTCTTATCTTTTTCTGCTAGGTTGCTTTTAATAATAGTGGCTTAATTAAAATATATTGTCAAGTAGGATGTAATTTTTTAAGGGAGAATAGAAATCGCACACAGTAGAATCAAGGGATTAGCACAAGTTAAAGAATGCTTCTAGGTATTTTACATGTATCATCTCAAAACAAAGAACTGGGAATGATTTGTTTAGCTAGTGACAAGGGTGCTGTATTCATGTCTTTTATAAAAAAAAAAAACCAACAGACTGTTAGATTATCAACTCTGTCAATTCCGCAGCAAGAAATTAAAGCAGGTAGAAGATGCTGCTGAAAATAATTCCCTGTAATGAACCAGTGAAGTGGGAATTAAAAATACTCGGGTAGACATTATTCTTCTAAGCTATTTTCAATTGCTCATGTAGTGTCCTCCAATTCATTCCTAACCATCTGGTTCCCTTTATTTGCAGTGGCAAACAAGTCCATCTTCGCAGTGAGGACGGTCCAATTGCATGGATAGTCGGGATAGATGATTATGGATTCCTCCAGGTTCATGAAGAAGGCAAGGGTGTAGAGTCCGTGCACCCAGATGGCAACTCTTTTGACATGCTGAGAAACCTCATCATCCCAAAGCATTAGTAGTCCTCGGAGCTCACAGCACAAAGGGAGGCACTTTAGTCTTTGGCACCAAGCAGCTAAACTTGCTTAAAGGTGGGAAGGGTAGTTGGTGGCTTGATTTTTTTTTTCCCCTTCTGATTTTCTGATATCTTTGTTCTTTGACACCAATAACTTCATCAGTTAAGAAGAGATAATTATCTCATTGCTGAAGGCCTTTATTCTTTTGTATTAACTTTAAAAACATCTGTGCTGCCATTCTTTGTAAACATCTATTCTTTAAAAAGGAGCCTGATTGCAGAGAAATACTCCACAATGAACAGAAATTTCTCTTCATTGGCATACTGTATTCGATAAACTAATGTGGCTAAATATTTCTTTTTTGTGTCTCTTTGTGTTTATTGTACTTTAGCAAAATGTGGTACAATACTTAATGTTTCTACTATGTTTTTTTAAGTTAAACACTGGTTTATGCAATGTCTGCAGTGGAAATGGCGGGAAGAGTTCATCTTATAACTCTGAATTACTGGGATTACCACTGTGTTTAAATTCAGGTCTAAGTGCAGAGCCTTGCTGATTTGGTTCTTCTCCATAAGGGCCTGTAGAACAGTTTACCATCCTGTGCTTTAGTCTCAGGTCCAGCTCTTGTGGCTGCCTTGAGGTTTTGGAGAGTTTTCCATCACCAGGTAAGAACTATGGTGGCTCATCCAAATTATTTGTACTCTGGTCCTCTTGGTCAATTGGACCTGAGTAAATCATCTCCTATCTCCTTTGAATCGTAGTCTTCCAAGAGGCTTTATCCCCTGTAGGAACAGGCCACCAGAGCAGTGTATCACCTAATTACAATCTTCTTACACAGGTTATTATAGAGTCCCATGTCAGGAAAGGGGAGTCCTAAATAGTTTACAATTTAAGAGTAATGCTGTTGTTGTAGAAATGAAGTTAAGTGAATAAATAAGTGAAAATGACCAGCTCTTAAAATCCCTGCCGTAAAATACTACCATGAAAAAGAGAAAACATGCAGCTAACCTGTGTCTGAATTCTCCTCCGTTGCTGCTGTCGTCACCCCCTTTCTCAAAGCAGGGCATCTGGTTTTCCTGCTAACCATTAAAAGCAAGAGGTTTAAAACCTGCTGACCTGAAGGCAGCTTGCTTTGGGGGCTGGCTGCACAGTTCCAGGTTAGGTGTAAGAGCTTGGTCATGGCTGGAAGGCATTGTGAAGCAGGCACGCAGGAGCTTCTGTGCGAGGGCAGCTTGTTGGGTTTTCTCCCTAGGCAAGGCGAATTTGCACCAGGAGGCTTGGCCACCACAGCACTTCAAACAGTTCCCTGCAGATGAGAAGTTAGTCGTAGGTGTGATGTGGCCAGCTTCATTTCCTCAAGTAGGCAGCACTGCTGATTACGTTACCTTGTCCCAACTGAGGGTGGATCAGCCAAATTGGTTTCCACAAAGGACTTTTGTCTGCTAGCCAGAAATGGGGTTTTTAGGTTAAAGTTCACCTCGTAAACAATCTGAACATGTTAGTAGATTGTTTCAGTTACAAAGCCGAGAAGTCTTAAAACAAGGAAACTAGTCTGTAATGGTAATATAGAGTAATCCTCACATATAAGAGTTGAGGTGGCTTGGCAGGAAGTACTAGAAATTAAGTCGTCTCTAATACATTTAGGATTTTATGCTCTGTATCACAGTAGATTTGTCTGTGTGCCTGATTGACTGTAGCCTTCCTCCATGACCCCCCTCATGTGAGACTGCACACCAGTGTTTCACAGAACTGTGTAGTAGAGTGTAGACAGCTGTTAATTGGCACAGTTGAAATTATGCACATGAACACCAGTTTTTGCTTTTTCCCACCAGATGCTTTCAAAACTACTTTGGGCTGTTAATTTTTGGCAACTACCTTTATTTCAGAACCCAGTATTGATGGATATTATAATCAAATGAAACTTGAGTCTGAATTAATAAAGTTTAAATAAAAAGAAGAAACCATTTCTACATAAATATACAAAAAAAAATATGTATGTGCATATGCACGCTCACATCTTCCTTGTCCACCTTCCCTTCTTTTCTGCCCATTCCTTCAAGCAGGCTGTGAGCAGTACATGCTGCTAGAAGTCAGCTGTGGAAAGTGTAGATCTGGTGCTGTTTTACAAAACTTATGTACCTCAACTTCTGTACCCGAAGATCTGTACCCCCATCCAATATTTGTAACCAAACCACTGGTAGGATGTGCCTGTGTGCATAACCTTTAATTTTGCTCATATTCCAGATAGGCTGATGAGAGTCTGTAGAGTTTTCCTTTAATGACCAGGTCATACATCAGGTTTTGACTTGAACTGCTTCCTTAAAATTTGCTTTCCCTTTGCTGGGGTCAAATACTGTAGAAGTATGAAGGGGGGAAATTATAAAACACTGTGTGAAAGGCAGAATTGACCTGCAAACCTTCACTCAGCCACATTACCACAGTGTCAGAATTTTTAATAATAAAATACTGCAATATTTCCTGGTTGCTCTTGTTCCTTTTGGGTTTCTTCATAGCCTTCTTAATGTTTGTTCTTTTCTCACTCTGAGCTGTAAGATTATTCTGAAAATTTTTGTATTGGAAAATAACTCAGTGCTGAACTTTTCTGCAAACATGGACGTGTCAGCACATAGGGTGGTGCTGTGGGAACATACCACTTTGCCTCTGCTCTTTAGCGGTCTGTCCTGTGTGTGTAAGACTACCTACTGTCTTGAGGAAGCAGCCTTGGGCTGGAAGAATCGTTTGTTGCAAACCTGACCTTTGCTTCAGAAGAACCAAAGAACATCACAAAGAAATTGCCCATTGTATCGTGAGCAGCTGCATGAGGTCCTTCTGACTAGCAGCTGTTCCTGTTGAGAAAGCCAGTGAACCTCCCTGGACCACATTTACCTCAAGGCTGGTGGGGAGCACAGCCAGTAGTCTTGCTCTTTCTGTGCCAAACCTGGCACATACAGAAAGCTACCTTTTTTTTTTTTTTTAAATCATTGTTATTATTGTTCGTTATGTAGTCGTTATGTAGGATAGACAAATAGGGTGTAGAGTGTCCCCGGACATCGGTATGAAGAGAATCAGGCAACTCCAGATCTAGAAGTAATGCACTGAAAATGTTTCATTTCATTCAACTGTCTAGATTAGTAAAACACGTCTTTCGTTGTGAAGCTGATGTCATATCTTAAACTATTTTCTTGATGAAGTGCTTTCAAAAAAACATTTATTACAGTGTCCATATTTCTGTGACTTCATTTTTTTCCTCTTGGACTCTGCTAGAACATTTCTCATTACACATTGTGAAAATATTTGTGGAGATTGTTTATTGATAGGAAAACTTCTGCCGCGCAGGCTGGGTGTGTTGGCTCCTGTCCGCCTACAGAAAGAGACGGCCGGTTATGTCCAGTCAGCACCAGCCCCATTTCCAAAGGTTTGAAAAAGTAATAATGGACTTAAAGTTTAAGAGTCTGACCAGTACATCTCCCTTCTAGTAACAGGCTTTGTAAGACTCCAGAGCATTTTGTAAAATATGTCCAACAAATATCATCTACTTCAAGGGCTATTACCTAGAAATAACGTTAAAGCATTTTCATTCTTTATGCTGCTGCTTCACTGTACAGCATTTTTTTTGTTGTTTTGTTTATTTGCTTTTTCTGATTCAACTGCAAGACATCGACAATCTCAAAAATGACTCTTTGCCACCGCTTTGGAATATAAAAAAGAAAAAAAGGAGTGCAGCTTAATTATCTGTCATGAGAAAGATTTGTGCTGCAAACAGCTGATTCCTGGGGGTAACTGGTTTGATAAAAGCATTTGCATGCATAAGTTACTGCGGAGATGCACCGCGCTGATCAGACGCCAAAGAAATTAAATCTGGGCTGAGGAAAGAACAGGGGTCAGAGAGTGACGGCGTGCCGCGGGCTGCGGTCGTGGCACCTGCGAGTGGGAGAGGAGAACTGCAGGACAGAATTGTAAGCGGACGTCGCTTGCATTAGCACCCTTCATTAGTGACTCCACGTTATTTTCAGTTCTCTGAGAGTCTTCCTTTACAATGCAACGTGGCTAAAATCCAATAAATTTTCAAAAATCCTTGTATTTTATAGTACATTAACTGTCAAATATAGTACAAATCACAAGTGAAATAAATTTTGACATGTGCAACACTGGATTTTTGTGAAACCTTGTGTTTCATAGTAAAAAAAGAAATCCAACTCGCTTTTCCTTTGGCTACAGGATTTTATTAACATTTTAACAGCTTTGTTTTACATAATAAATAAGCAAAAATGCTTTACATTTTTAGGGAATACATATATAATTCTGAGCCTTAATAGGTTGTTTGTTTTGCGTGCTTTTTCACCTACATTTGCCAGATAGCTTTTATCTGCATCATATAAAAAAAAAAAAAAAGCAAAATCTAATGTTTAGGATAAAAATGGAATAATAAAATTTTCTCTTGTGTTGTTTTTGAAGTATGACTGAGATGCTGAAAAAATACTTGGAGTCCTGTTTTGTGATTTTTAGAGAAATACTGGTATTCTGGCAGGTTTCCCATTCCTTTGCGCTTTATCTCAGTGAAACATTCTCCAATTTTACACCTTTGTCCACTATACTTAATTTAGTTAAATTACTTTAATATCCTTTTTCAAATTACAGGGCTATTGAGACCTTGAAAGAAGTCTGTTCCCTTATCACCCTATTTACAACGGGGTGTTCCTATTATTAATAGGATAAAAAATTTGAGACCTCAATATGGGATTAACATTTCCAAATTTACATTTTGGTTAAAATGTAACATTTGGTGCATCTCTCCCTCATTCTCCATATTGTTTGCTTGCTAGGTCTGAACTCCCCTAAGAATTAAAATCCTATCAAGTTACATGACAGAGATATCTACAGTGGCTCAAACAAGTACGGCAGAGTGAAATGAGGTTATTTTTCATAATATATTCCAATTCACACACCACGTCTGTTACATATTTTTTTCCAATTATTAAAAACATCACCACTGTCAGCGGCTGTGCTGCGTTCTGTGCTACAAACATCTGCAGTTTCACTGACTGGAAGTCATATTTTTCTCTCAGTGTAATTTACTGACATTCCAGATGTGAGCATGCAATTGCTGTTTCTATTTTGGAACGGCAGGAAAAATGTTTCACACATTTGCTTTTTTAATCACAGATCTTTTCTAAAACCTACCCTGTATTATCATATGTGAATGCATAATTGATTCATTATTGCCTAACAGGGAGAGTTCATGTACCTAAATATCGCATACTGTAAAACATCTGCGGGAGAATGATGGAACACCTCCTCTCGCCAGGCTCATTGAATAAAGACTAGAAGTGTGAATAACAAGGTAGACGCTGGAAAAATATTTTGTGGTATTTTACTGAAAAATATTAATGGCATTTTTTTAGCCAAAACCTAATTTGTACGTTCCTGAAAACATGTTTTTATAGTGAGAAGTACTTACAAGAACAGAAAAATACACCAAACTGACTTTGTGTGCAGCAGTGCCACTAATGAGGTATAGAGAAAAGTGCAGTATGAGAGTTGTGCATCAGGTTTCTTTTTAATGATGCAAACAATGTCAGTGAACTCCTTTATAGGGCATGTTTTCAATTTAACAAAATTAACAAACAAATCTTAGCATAATTGTACCTTCTAAGGAGTTGGGCCTGTTCCTTAGTGCCGCGGGCTGGGAAAGCTGTTAACCAGAGCCACTGCAGGACCAGCTTCTGTCTCATCGCTTCAATTTATGAAGTCAGAATGACAATTATATTCACTCATAATATTTCTGTAGGCTCGCTAACTTCTTCAGTGTGAGATGAGCTGAGGAGTGCAGTTACACAGAGGGGGTGAACATGCTGGTTTTGTTCTGCTTTTTTTTTTCAAGGCAGTATTCTGGTAATGTCTGATTATGCATTTTTTGTTAAATTTACCATGAAAGGTCTTTTTCATGCTTTTTTAGCAAATGAAGTCAGGTAACTGTGAGCTTCCAAGTGGACATCAATTTAACTTTGTAATTATGCCTTCTCTGTTAATCTTTTAGTAGGAAGCAATAAAAATAGTGAAAATAGTTTTCAAATGTATGTTTTTAAAGTATTTTTGTGTACACATAGCAATAAATAATCATACAGACAAGGAGGTGACTGAATATTATTGTTGCATATAAAAGATGGAGAACGTGTAATTTTAAAAGTGTGTATTTCATTACATTTTTATCTGACAAGGCAGAAGAACCCATGAGCAAGTGGTTTTCTTTATTGCACAAGCCAGATAAATATTTTCTTCAAAGAAGGAGTCTTTGAGAGAGTCTGATAAGAGAGAGAAAGTTTTAAAAAGTGGAAAACATCCTTGAACTGGGCTAAGAAATATATTATTATGTACAGGGCATAGCTGACTCAGATCTACAAGAACGTTTATTGTTGGTATTTACAGCTGTTATTTAGGGAGCCATTTGTTGTTTTACCAGGAGCGCACTGTGTTTGGGGAAGCGACTGACAAACCGAGCAGACTGACTGTTGTCAATTAAACACACACGGATCCCTAAGTGTCCTCGTTTGTAAACCTTAGAAAGTTAAAAAGCAGGGGGTAAATCTATTCCGAATGGGCTGGAGAAAATGCGGCTGTGTGCCGGATGCTTTTCACTGACTGCAGTTTATTAGCAGTAGAGATGTGTGCAAAGCGTCCAGCTCCAAACCCCGACGTACACAAACTCTGCTTGGCTTCAGGTGCAGCCGCAGGGGTTGTGGTTGTGCGATGAGTTTTGACTTTCTGTATTTGGATTGTCCACTGACATTATTTGTGAAGCGCATGAATCAGTCAAATATTTGTCTTACCGTTGTGTTGACAATAAGGTTTGTTGAAGGAAGTTCAGTGTGTTAAAAACTGAAGCTTTCAAACTTCAGGAGTATACTGCTAAGTTTAAAATAAAGCATAGATGTTCATTACTCCCTTGGCTGTAAAGAAAACATTTCTGGAGCTATTATTATGATGTATTTTTGACTAGCTGGTTTGAAAATCTGCACTACTTTCTCCCTGAATACTCAGTGAAACACACATTTTAGAAGTTTCTTTTTCTTATTGCAACATTTTGTGGGGAGCAGTCTTTAGTCCCTGCTGCGTGATATTTGTCCCAATTTGTTATGACAAGACCTGTAACCTTTTAAGACGTATCTTTGTGTGTATTAATTTGTCCTATCATTCCTCATCAAGATAAATGGTGGTGGTCACAATCTCAGACCACTAAAATCTCTCTTAAATAAATCAAATTTATGTTTGATTTATTTAAAAAACTTCTGGTTAATTAATAAATAAGCTTTTTCCAAGCTGAGTTCTGTTTAGTTAGTACAACTGTATTACAGATACTAAAAATCACCACTCTTTAAACCAGGTTCATTTGTCAGGGTGTTTAACACATGGGTGGAGAGCTGATGTAAGGTTGCACACAGTTTGTCAAAAATACCTAAACTAGAATGTGTAGTTTATGATAATGATAAAAAAAAATCTTGAATGTATTTTGAGAAGGAGGGATTAAAGAAAAAAAATGTTCCTCATATAAATCTCTGCATATAACACCTATCATTTAATTTTGTTGCACACTATAAAATAACAAAAATAAGATCTGTAACATGTCTTCTCACTGGCACCAGAACTTAATCTGTGACAACGAAGCATGGAAGCCGGATGCAGGTTTTTTTCCTGACCTTGAAGGTACAGCTACATGTGGCTTACCAGGAACACATGAGTCTGTCCCTCATTGACCTTCAGCTATGCTCAGTAAATGTGACCATGTTTTCTCATGCTTTTTGCAAATCATTACAGTTTGGCTTCTTCATTAAATGTAAATACCCTCTATCACTGTCACCTTCCATTGGCTATTATTACAGAAGTTCCAATATAATGGGGTAGTGCAGATTCCTTGTGGGTTTCCGGAGAAGAAGCTGATGAGGGGCTTTGGTTTTTGTAAATAAATGTATTTACTTCTTCGGTATTGTATCCATAATTTTCTCCTACATGTCCTGTCGCTGTGCACGATGAGGTTTGAAACGTACCGTGTTTGGCTAAAACGTGGTGATAATTTAGAAGCACAAACGGAACTTGTCCGGAGGGTCTCACATCCATCATGCGCTCACTTTCAGAGTCATGATCAAGCTTTGCAGTCATTCTCTCATCGCTGTCCAGTTCATTGAGATTTGTAGCGTGGTGACTAATAGGCCCGTATTTGGGTTCTTTCATACAAATCCTTCTTGTTTGCTCATATACTGAGGGCATCGGCAGGAGATGACTTAATTGTCCTATAGCTTTAGACTGGAAACATTCTGATTTTGGCAGCAGGGAGTTAGCTATTGAATTTGAAAAAGTATTTTCGTTAATGCTTATTTTTTCTTGTAAGTCTCTGTTAAAAGTTAGCTTGTTTTCTTCTTTAATGAGATGGTGAGGGGGCGGAATCCTGGTTTCTATTTTGTTGGGTTTCGTGATGCCAGAATCGTAAATCTCCTCTTTGTATCTGCTGCCTGTCATGGTTGCTGTGCAGCTTGTGAAGCTGTCAGATAGAGCACCTTGGCTGTATCTTCTGTTGGATATGGGCACTTGCAGGAAAGACAAAACATGACAGTGAGCTCATACAATAGTTAGACTCTAACACTTTTTATGACTGAACTTTGGTGCCCATTTGGTTTGGGCCAGATCCAAGTGCAAGTGAGGGTGCCAGAGACATTCCCATTTGCCTCAGGGGCTTTGGGTAAGTCTCTTTTAGACAGCGTCGAAAAGTAAAAATACCAAACAAAACCCTCAACCCCTTCAGAAGAGCCAACAGTGTTGAACAATTCTGAAAAAGTTTCCATGTGAAATGCCTATTTGTTTACTTGACTGAAAAATTATAAATCACTGTCATTAATAATATGGCTAAATCAGGGAAAATAAACCAAAGAAATATTTTTAATTGTGACCTGCTATCAGAAACCTTGACCTTAAGTAAGCTCTTTTCAGAGAGTCATCAAACGATTTACCAAAGGATGGGTAACATTTAGTCCATGTCAACGATTCAATGATTAGGGTAAAATAGTATTTATTCTTCCTGTCACTGTGGAAGCATGTTGTATACTTGCTCTTGTAAGGAAATAAGAGGGTCTGTAGTGTTAGATACTGATGTGTTGGTATCCAATTCACGATATCTGTTTGCCATATAACTAATTTCTACATTGTGTCACTTTAAAGGCTTGGTTTTTCTCTTGAAAAAACTAGCATCAGATATTAAAAACATCTCTTGAAAAGCAACATAAATACTTCTTGAGTAATGCTGTAGCTCTGCTTTCTAAGTACGGTCATAATAAAGCTGCATGTATAATATAAATGTACTTTATAACGTACACTGAGAAAGTTTGTTTGAATGTGGGATTACTAAACTAGGTATGCTTGGAAAATTAGAAGCTAGATTATTAAATTTTCAAGAGATTCCAGACCTAGGATTTCTATTCAGGCTTCTCCTCTCAAATATATTGAGTAATCTTCATTTTTCTCTGAAGTTTCTGCATGGTAGCTGAATTCTTGAAACAATTTGAGTTCTCTTTATCATTTTCTGCTTGGCTTATGCAGACTTTCCTTTTTGTACACTCCTACCTACAAACATTAAGAGAAAAAGCCACTGGTTTAGCAGTATGGCTAAAATTAAGTGTGTACTAATATTTTTGCACTGTCTTGTGTGAACAGGTTGGCAGTTATACTGCTCCTCCATGGCACATTTGAAAGTTTTATGTTAAAGGTTAAATGAGGCACTTAGCAAATTTCTCAAATTAAACTTAACCTCTGTTTTGTGTTGTGCTCACTGAAAGCCCTGGACACCTAAGTGCCTTTTGTAAAAGGGATTTTCTGTTTTTCTAAAAATTTTATTCAACATCTTAAAAGTTTTGGAGTTCCCCTGTAGTGGTTCCTGACGTAACTGTACCTGCTTATAATTAAATATTCCCTGTGCTATAGTAGACTAGCAAAGCCTTCATGTATAACAGAGGAAGCAGAAATAGCTCAGTTGTACCTTTTTTTATATGCAGAGCTTCATTAATTTCAGTGGGAGTTGCACCACATAATTAACACCAGAACTTAAAACAGGAATCTGGATCCAATTTCTTCTTAATCAACCCACCACCCTCCTAGAAACAACCTTTCAAGTTATTCTTTTTCATTTCCATGTACATATTTTGTACTAAGAAGTATGTGCAGTCCTAAGTGAACTAAATTCTCATGAGCTGTTGAAAAATGGCCCTCCTAGATCACAAAGCAAAACAGAGATTCAGCCACATGGTTGAGTATGACTTGGAAATTTTACCAGTGTAATTATACTATTCTAAGTTTAATTCTGCCTTTGGCATTTTTACTATAAATAGTATACTATAAAAGTTTACATTCTGAGAGATACAACATATAACTCATATGATTTACCTAGCCTGGTATACTGGTGTTAGTGGTTTTCCCACTTGAGACATACATAGGAGTGATGGGATTGTTCTCATACTACAGCATGGAATATTGTGACCTCATGGCTCTAATCTCTGAACAAAAGATTGTCCTTTCCCAGTTTTAGAGCCCATCCTCGTAAGAAGTTGAAGCACCAAGGCCACCAGTTAACCTCTGTCTGTTTTTCATCTTTTTTCATCTTTTGTCATCTCAAATTCTGCAGGGCCGATGGCTGCCTTCTCGGAACAAGAAGTAATTTGCATACTAGGGAGATTTACAAGGTATTACCCATTTTGTTCTATCCTGCTTCTCAAACATGATTTTCATCTCTTTTGTTGAGGAAGAAGGTAAGCGTCTGTTAATTGTTTGTGGGCTTGCATTAAAGCTGCCAGCACATTTGTAGAATTAGACCAGATAGTTAAGCAAGTCCTGTCTGTAGTGCAACAGAGCACAGTCAGTTTTGTCCGCCCACATTCAGAACAGTTACTGGAGCTAGACTTCAATCTGCTTTTGTCTTCCTTTGCAGACAAAAGCCCAAGGATGCCCTGGGACAGACTCCTCCTGGGGAGCTTTTCAGACAGAAGTTAATACGGTTAATACAGCTGCTCTGTATTGCTGTGGAAGGACATGACCCCAGGTTTGCTCCCACCCCCTCTGGCATGCGGGTAGCTGCCAGAGTACCTGCCTCAGCAGGTGCACGGAGATCCCATGCATTTGGTGCTTCTCCAGCACAATGGAAATACTTTACAGGCATTGAAGTCAGAGCATTAATTTGGGATGCTTTCCAGACCCCACTTCTTCCAGAGCAACTCAGCTACACCGAGTGATGTAGCTGCACTGCACATCCAAGGCTGTGTATCATACCAGAGTGACAGCAGCTTTCCAGAAGGCCCCTTATACTAGCTTACACTGTCTCCATTCATAGCCCACAACTGCAACAGTGAACGCGATCTTTCAGGCACCGTGTCTCTTAATTATTGCCAAGTAGCTCTGCTTTCCCACTAGTGGTCAAGGTGCAGCTCAGGCAAGCTGAGGGAAAACCTGGAGATAAGAGCCCCATCACCTGGCAACCTGCTATCCAAATGGGAATAGAAAGGCTACTTAGCAGGTATTGGTCTTTCTTTAAAACCTGTCGTGTCTGTTCATAGCGACAGTACACTAGAGTGACCTGGCAAACCTAGTGCTGTGGCAAGGAGCGTTCCCTCCTCACCTTTACATAATGCAGTCAAAGATCAGGTGGTGCACAGGAGGGGGAAAAGATGCTTTCAGAAAAAGTATTTCATTCATAAACATGCCTTCTGGACCAAGATATTCATAGATAGAGCTGTTCTTTGTTCTCTCATTGATCTTCTATTTCAATAAAAATGAAAGAAAGGCATCTTGGAACCAAGTCCAAGCAAAGAAAGCCTGGTACTCAGCATTGATCTCCATGCTAAGGATGTGCAGTCCTTAGCAGCAGAGTTTTACATCCTGTCTATGAAAAACCTTGTCTGTTTTTAGGACATAGCTGGAAGCCCTCTTCATGCACACTTTGTCTTGCACAATTTTTCTGGGGCTTTCTGTTCTATACTAGTCTTAAAAGAGTGTTTACTCTGGACAGCTACTATATGTTTTGAAAAGACATTATGCCAACACTTGGATGTTGACATGTAGCCCATGATGATTTGGTATGTTTCCTAATCCTTTGTACAAGGGTGCCTTAAGAGAAGAAGAACAATTACTCAGTCACTCTGAGTTGCACTGAAGACCAATGAGCAGAGCCACAGTACTGCTCAGGTCATGCGCTCCTGCATCAAAAAAGGCATACTGATATTCCTCCATGTCAAACAAGGCAAAGACACAACAGGTCTTAATACTGTCTATGCCCTTTAAAAAGACATTTTTAGATTAGCTCAATATCTTTGCTGTGACCTGGTCTGCACTCTAATAGCAAATCATCTGAGGCATGGGCTGACATTTTAATTACTATGTTCTCCATTATTCTTCCTGCCAAAACAATAGTAAGACGACATGATCATCAAGACCTCTTAATCTCTAGTGGAATACACTTTTCAAAGAAGGTGTCGTATTTCTTCCAATAGTCACAGGCTAACCCTGGGGAGTTGTTTTGGTGGAGGAAGATACACCAGAGCTTTTCCACTGATCTTCTTAGTATCCTTCATCATTTCCTGAGTTTTGGCATGATTAGTGACACTAAGCTTCACACAGGTAGTACAGACTGGCCAACAGCACAACTGAATGAGAAGTGGGTACTGTGGTGTATACCATGGTGCTATAATATCCATTCAAGTGTGCAATGGAAGCATCCCTGACTAACAATATGGTTGCCTTCTCTGAAGTGAGTTTCTTTTCTGATGGCTAGGCCAGCTGGAAAAAAAGTGGAAGATGCTCCAAAACCAGATTCTGAGGCAGCAGCATCTGATTGACAGGCAGTTTTATCTGCTACGTGCTTTTCCAGAGCTTTGATGGTTTGGCATGTTCATCTTAAAATCTCTGATCTCTCCAAAAGAAGCTATTTTCCATAGAGAAAAATGTCTCTGGCCTACGGCGTTTTTGGCAGCTGCTTCTATGGATGTGATGTGGAATAGCCCTTGCATCCAACCCGGTTGCCAGATGTCATATTTGGCATTGCCTTTGGATTGAAGATAATGACACTAAGCAGATCCTCTCTGCTTTGAAGCTTCCTGGCTGTCAGTTTTCCAGTGAACTGCTGAAAAAAGCAGTGGTTGACTATGTGAGGAACATCAGATGCCCTTTTCAATTCAAAGCAAAAATTTGCTTCCAAAGGTTCAGATTTCTTTTCTGCCACCAGCCTCAGGAAAAGTACAACAGGGCTAATTCTACCTCAAGAGGAAACAAACTCTGGAACAATCAGACATAAATCCTCTTTGCAGTGGAGGCTCTGTTTTTCTTCCCCCTCTTATAACACCATGTGTGAACTCAAGCAGTGATGTCTAACCAGGCCCAAGTTTGACCATATTCTTTTTCCCTTCCTAAATAGTACAACTGTAAGTGCTTTTGCAGAGAATTAATTGTACCAAGTCAGTTTTCATCAAATGCCTGATATCTAAACACATCTGTGCTCAAGAGAACTGATATATAATCTACTTAAGTAACAAAATCTGCAACAGAAGTAGAACCAGAAGCAAGAACCGCTGGTGTCACAGCTCCATTCTCCTGTTCATGAGGAAATGGTGTGGGTATGCATGCATGATGAAATTGAAAAATACCAGCAGTTGCTTGCCAATTTTTGTTGGGATCTTTCTTTTTTTACCCTAACATGTTTAACAGTATTCCTGTGGAATACTTCTGACTTAATGTATTTACTAGGAGTTATCTGCCTATATCAACTGGCCAACGGTAAACTACCTCTCTGCTGCTGTGCTCACTGTGCTTTTCTGGCAAATTTTCTGGACAATTTAACCGACTGTTCTCTGAACAGGCTGTTCTTTCCATATCTATTCTCAGTGTATTTGACGGCACCCTCTTACCAGCGAGGGGTGGATTTACTTTCTCAGTCAGTCTCATGGCATTTCTTATTCTGGAAGCAGAGGAGAAAACCTGGACTGACTTCTGTACACCTAGAATAGCTTTGTCCCTGCAGACTTACTGGGGATCTATGAGAATTTACTCCAACCCTTATACTTATCCTCAAAAGATGTAGCTTTTTTTTTCTTTTCCACAAAAATACAGCATCTTCAGAAAGGCCAAAACCATTTCTTATTTTGAGTTGAAAGCTACTCCTTTTCACAATCAGTCCACAACAGCAACAGAAGGAAGCCAGCACAATTAGAGAAGGATGAGCTCAGAAAAAGCATTTAACCTGTGTTAGGCTGTAAGATGAGCTGCAGTCTTGCTCATTTTCAACCTGAACACAGAACAATAAAATAAAATGCTGTGGTCAGCTAGGTACGGTCAATCAGCTAGGGGAGGTGAAAGGGTCCAGTGAAGGACAAAGCCCTCAGCAAAATCATTCAATGTCTGATACTCTATTCTGTCTGATGTAGCAAGCTCAGCTTTTAACATCTGCAGATATTCCCTTCAGATCTAGGATAGCCAGTGTCATGTTTATTTTAAATTTCTCCTACTACTTCCTCCATCCGATCTTCAATGCAACTAGAAGAAAGGGGTGTTTCTATTTATAACAGCATATCAACCAGTCAGTCCTCATCAATGATTTTTAGTTAATCAAAATGGTGTATGCACATAGATGTAATGTGTATGAGATCTAAGGATTAGAGTGTAACTTGAACTTGTTTACATTTAGTTAGTTTGGCTTTGCACGGTTATCTTTTATAGGCTGCCACCTCAGAGAAGTCAATGTCTTCAGTGCTTCCTTCAAAGTATTTGAGCTGGCCATCTGTTCAGAGAGATCATGTAGCTGATCAGGGAGGAGCACTGAAGACATATTCAAATAAAGCAGAAGACAGTGCCTTTCATTTCTCATTCACTGTAGCAACCACAAAGTAAAGACATTCAGAATGGCTTCATACTCAGAAAGGACAACCTTCAATTTTCATGGGAATAGATCACGTTTATTTTCATTTCTGTATGTGAGCTGAAGTACATTTGTTTATTTCTGACTTCAGCAATGACTTACCTGATCAATGCCACTAGATAACTCTGATAGTGCAAAACAGGAAGGTAAACTGTGCCACTACTAAAGAAGGGGATATCTCTGCCCAGTTCTAAAAGTGATTCTGGTGAATACCTTTCCGCAAGGGGCGCTTTGATAATATTCCAAATCAAGTTTTGATGGTAATGGGAAGAGGGATGAACGTGTAAATAGGATAAACATGGTGGTTGTTACCCTTCACTGGTTCTAATTTTCAGTGTTTCCTAAACCCCTTGTAATTCCTGTTTTCAAACTACAATTACTAATCCCTCCCAGACAGCCCACAGCTTTGCTTTTCTTTATTTCTTTATTATTAAGTGACACCCACCTTCATAACTCTGTGCAAGATTATGTCGGATGATATTCACAGGCTGATCAGGAAGATTTTTGGATGGTGACTGGCTGTTGGGTACCAAGGAGTTGGCATAATGCCACTGGCATTCTCCATTTGTCTGCAGCGTACTCAAGAAGAATCGAGCCACTTCACAAGGTGCTCCTTGAGACTGCCCAAACTTGGAAGGCAACATTTGCTTTTTGCTACTGAAGACATGAGAATCTACAGGGAAGTGTCCATAATGGTAAGAGAAAGGCAAGCTATATGACGGGGCATATAAAAGTTCACTGTTTTCTGAATGGAAGTTTTGTTCTTGAATGGTGGCAGCATTCACTGCAGGGCTGGATCGCCAGTTTCCCACCTGGCTGCATTCCAGTTTGTCTGTTTGGAATGAGTTGTATTGCTAGGGGAAAGAAAAAAAAAAAACAAGGGAGGGGAAGAGAGTTAAATGACTAACTTTGATATGAAACCATGTAACATATCGTACAGGCACCCAGAGCCGGGCCTCCTTCAGCTGTGATCTCACTGGCTGGAGGGAGTGGCTTAACAGTGCTTTTCAAGTTCCTTGTCTTCACAGTAGCTTTACCTTCACTTAACAGGGGAACAAAATACTATTGTGTCATCGTAACGTTAAGAGTTTATTTAATAATTTTGCCCATTGGATTTTAGCTGGGAAATGTAGGCAGCTGCCAATTACCAGGGGGCAGAAGTCTGTTGCAAAGCACTGAAAGTCACTGATAAATGGGGTAGCAGACCAGGAGTACGATTTGGCATATGTTGGCACATCAAGCTTTCCAACGGTAGGAGGGTAGAACCCGTCCTTCGCATCAGCTTCTGTCACAATCATTTTCTCTCCTCGTTCTCTCCTGCCGTCCTCTCCAGATTCCAAATGCTTTTTGGGCTCTCACTGTCTTGAATGCAATATGTGTGCTGCTGCGTCACTGCTGTTTTAAGGTACCAGTAACCCCTTCCAGCAATATTCACAGCAAAGTCTCTGAATGCCTTAGGGTGGGTGTCAGTCTCACCAACCCAGTTTTATGTACAAGCTCCATAGGTTGCTTCCACATCTAGTTCTAGCTTGGTCAATGAGAGTGAGAGGCATTCCAAATCCCATTCTAATGCTCTTTTTGGTAGGATTCATCCTTATAATGCATTCTCCAGCATAAGGAAACTGCTAATACCTGAATTCTGCGAATCAGTGCCATGAATGAGACGCGTTCTACACCAGCATGTATTTTCACAAAACAGCTATTCTCAGGACATTTTTTTTTTCTTTTTACTGAGAAAGTGCAGTGGTTTTGTAGTACTTTATATACTCTGTGTCCAAAAGATTTTGTGTTTGCATCATTTGTCAGAGTTGGTTAGTACTATTTGTGCTGTCCACCCCAAGAACAAAAGGGGTATTCCAGCCTACAAGGGAGTTCCTGTGGCAAAGCATACTAGAGCCAGTTATACAGTGAGTTCCGTTCTGGATGATCTCTAGCCTATCCCAAGCATTCTATAACAATTGGTAAGTAAATAATACTGAAAAGTTACCTGCTGTGGGTAAGGCGTTGTTCTGAGTTTTGCCTTCATTTTATTACTTTTGGGTTTTACTATTTTTCTTGTTTCCTGCGAGGTAGATACTGAGTTTCTGCATGAAAACTGTGACTTGGAAATGGTAACCTGGTCCAGTGACAACTGAAGTTCCTTATACTCAATATCTCTGCAAAAGAACAGTGCAGTGAATTACGTACTCAAACATACCACACAAATCTAAAATAGCTCCTTTGAAAATACATGTTAGCTTGCAGAATTTTTTAATTTTCATTCTTCCAAGATTTTCACTGAGTCTGCAGTGTGAGTCTGGGAGTGTCAGCAGGCAGTTAAGCTTATGGTCTGACCTGGTCCCTACACAAGTCTATTACAAATGTTCCTCTGGGAACCGCATTAACATCTTTGTACTGTGTCGCTGCTCTCTGAACCTAAGCTGTGCCAAATTCCTCCAAGCCATCTGTGGTACCCTGAAGTTTGGAATTGCAGCCAAGTCAGCTGACAGATACATCAATTCATCTATCTCTTCCTCAGTCAGGACCTGGTCGTTGCCCTGGCTCTCACAGTTAGCCCCAAGGAAAGGAAAAGGAGCGATGTTCATCTCCTGCCAGTGCAATGTGCTTGTAACTAGACCACAGGAGCTGCAATGATGATTTTCTGACAATCTCTAGAGTTTCATTTCTGGTCTGCTCTGTTCAGTTTTGTCTGCCCCACAGAGGGCAGATTTCTGTACAAAAGGGACTAAAAAGCAGATCAACAGCAAAACGTGGATCATATTTTGAAATGTCAATTGATACATGTCTGATGATTGAATGGTCTCTCTGGTTTCGTCAGTAGCAACAGTGGAGCATATTTTTGAAAGGATAACTAGGAAAATACCTACTTTTTTCTCATTTTCTGCACAGAACTCACTTCCATCACTTTTTGATGGTGAATCAAATGGAAGTAAATTCAGACCAAGAATATGCTCTTATATCCCTGGCACAGTGTCCTCCTTTTTACTCAGATCACTTGCCCTGACTCATGGGACTCAGGCAGGCTGCAGTGCCAAGGTTTTTCCCTCATTCTGCCGGCTCTCACATCCATGCAGGAATAAGGGCAGCATTAGTAGCTAGCACGTTCTAGGGCTGAGTACCTACTTAAGTATTTTAAGGAAACACCCTATGGGTTCTCAACTCACACACTTTAACGCCCCAAAGTCAGGTATCAGAGACAACACTGTAACATGGAAACACATGATCCTACCACACACACCATGCAAACACATCCTACTTTCAAGCCAGATAAGAAATGGACCAGTCTAGACAACAGAAGAGTGAATAGTTCCCTGCTTTTTTACACTACTCAATACTAGGAGTACCCACTATCCTTTTTTTTTTTTTCTTTTCCCCCATAGAGAGTCTCTTCAGTCACAGTCTGTTACACTATTACTTATTCCTTTTACTCAGTATAGATTTTTGTCTCTGTCAGGTTTGTATCAAGATATGAATTCTGTAACACCTTCATGACTTGAACTAGAATTCATAAACTGCAAGTCCAAGCTGCTCTACATTCACTAACTCAGGGGGAGCTACTTTTCATAGTGAAAATGTAGTTTAGCCATGAGTATCTGTGCAACCCAAGGCAAGTCAGGGAATCCTCAGTAATTCACCTGTCCCTGAGAAGAGTAATGCTTCCTACCTTGTCTCTGTCTCCCAGACTGACACTATGACCTTTGCTGGGTAGCAGTAGCTTTCACTGTGTCTGGAGAGCCCCAGTGCCGTTCTGATGCCTATTACAGAACTGGGGTCCAGTCTGATGCAAATGGCTACAAGTGGTATGACACTCAAGGATAAGGTGTACAAGGCAATCATGAGGAATACTGGCTCTTTTTAGCTCAACGTAACAAACATAGGGAGGATATGAGGGGAGAATAGTGGCTGTAACATGCAAGCACCGAAAGATGCTAGAAGGCACAAGTAAAGCAAACTTAAAGGGTTTAATTAGTAATGAACCGATAACTGTTAAAGACACAAAACAAATCAATTACTGATAACACATAATGGTACAAAGTATTTTGACTTACGTAAGGACATAATTGACACTCACTATGCAGTGAGGCCGTGACGAACGGCTGTTATGCACAATAGTAGCGTAGCTCTGTACCCAAACCCAGCCGCCATGCTTGGACAGTAGTCGATAGTACTTGGTGGTGACTTGGCCTTTCACCAACACTGTGGACACAATTTTTAAAATAATTTCAGATTGCTTGGACTTGTGACCGCTTCTTGGCGAGATTTACATGCAAGGCAGGGAATTCTCGCCCTCCTACACCTTCCTTAAAACTCCTCCTTCTCCCTCCAAACTTTACACAGCTCCCTTGCAAAGGTATCTGTCCTGCCCCTTTACATAGTTCCCCAAGGTAACATTATTCCTTACAAATAGTATGTTGCAAACTATTAAGGTTTGTCTTCCTTCTTTTCCAGTTCACCCTGCTCTCTTATGCTTACATTCTGCAAAATCTCTTACTGTTTCTAGCCTTCTAACTGAAAGAGAAATGATCAAGGCAGCAAAAGTATTTTGAAGTAGACACAACTAGCTTGAGTTTTTCCAGTATATTTGGAAGCACTTCTGTCATTCATAGTTTAATAGATTATTTTGGGGTTTGCAATGTATTTTATGCTATGAAGCTTTTTCCCCTGTAAGCTCTACAGTTTGAAGATTGATTTAAAAGGGGAAAGCTAAAATTCTATTTGGTTCTTAGGCACACAAATAAACACAAGGACAGTGAGATGAATTGGTTATCTGGTAAATACCAGTAGAAATGTAATCCTCTATACACTAGTTTGGATTGTCTGTCAAAAAAGATGTTTTGGTGTAAGGCTATGCTATAATAGGAGTTGTGCAGCATCTCTAAATGTTTAATCTAACCACAAACATTTTTTGGTTCAGTGCCAGGCATTTATCTAATGATTCACCAGAAAATAACACCCAGCCTTCAGAGGTGGTTCTTCTCTTGTGTAACCCTGGAGCGTTCCTCTAAGAAACTCCATCTTCTTACCCTTCTGTACAGTTAGCTGTTTATTCTAAATTGAGAAATAAGGGACTGAGCTTGTTACACAATTATGTCAAAAAAAAAAAAAAAGGATCAATAGCAGCAATTCCTTTATATAATGCATGATTAAGAAATGGAATTACTGCTTGCAAATGTAGGGCTCATACTAGACTGAACTGAATAGCAAAGCTCACTGTAATTTTGTTTTCTCATTGTACATGCTTGGTACAGAAGCAGATACATGATAAAAAAAAATTGAACAACAGCTTTCTTTTTCTATAGTAGAGCAAATGACCACTTGAAATGAAAATATATGGCCTTATAATTAGTACTTATAGAAGATTTTTCTGAATCTGTCCAGAGAGGGCATCCAATCCTACACTGGGAACTAAAGAGTGAATAATCTTTGGGGATTTGGTTACTATTTGGTAATTCAGTGTATGGCTCTCAGTCATCACTGGAGTTGGCTTTTTTTTTTTATTATTCCATTGTTACCTGGGGGAGTAGGGCTTTGTGCTTCCAACAGTAATCAGAGACCACAATAATATGAACAGTATCAAGAGCACAATATAAGAGCAAGAGCTCTTGTTCTTGCTAAAAGGTGCTCTAAGCCCATAGCATATAGGTCATCTCTCTGGACTGCTTACTCTCCTATCCACCTGCACACATCACAACATATTTAAACTTTTTTTCAGATCCCGTTGATCTCCCTAAGAAAATCGGGCTCTTACAAAATGGCTACAGACAGGTCCTTCTGGAAGTGTCAGTTCTCTTTCCATTACAGTATATGGTGTCCATTTGTTCAGAAATCAATAAGATAAATGACAACAACTCGCAGGACATTAAAAAACCCATCCTCACTGACACCAAACCACTTCTATTTAGAGTTTGAAGTCTCTTTTAAATACCAGCTTTTTGTCTTATAGTTGCTGGTGTCCTTTTTCATGTCTACATTTCTACATGAAATCCTCAGTAGGATCGGGGTGTGCATGTGCACAGATATTTAAGAAAATAATGAGGAATATGTGTGTATGTAAACACACCTACAAAATATAAAGGCATGTGCAGTATTTAAGTGCAATATAACGCTCCAAGGTCAAGGTGCTGTATTCCTCAAAGATTCATTGTAACAATGCCAAATAAGTCTGCTGTAAAAATATTTGTTAATAATCAGCTATATGCCATGGAATTACTATGTCTCTTGGTCTTCTATAATCTAAATAGTCCATTTCTAGGAAATGATGCTTACATATTGACCTAGGTCATCTAACATTTTCTTTGTAACGTGGTCTACACTTTTCAGAACTAAGTCTTCATGCTTGTTTAATGGTCAGGCTTTTCTTGAATTCTGAATGCCTTGCTACTCAGTCATCTAAAATAGATATTAATGCTCTAATGGATTGCTAGCTATAACAAAGCTCTTCCATGTGCTTTGGGAGTAGTTTTGTCTCAATGATTTTTTTGAAATCCCTGTTTTAGCTCTCCACTTAAGACAATATTTTAAAAGATGTGAAAACCACCAAGGACTACAGTGTTCAGCTGTCCTTCCTAATTATATGGATAAACCGATATTTCTCCTGGGACAGGGGAGGACTCTGCCTCCTACATTTTTAGCAATCTGAGGAAAATCTGACCTTGGCTAGGGGACAGTAGCTGTGCTTCCGATACAGTAAATGAGGTCAATTTTCATTTGGCTCAGTGATAAATTACCCTGTTTGATGCTGATTGGGAAACCTCAGAAATGGGAGTGAGGTAAATCCACTACCAAGACAATCTGTGCAGGCTCAGACTTCTTGGTGGCCTCTGTTGCAATCAAACGGGAAGGATTCGGTGGCTTTAGCCTTGGCTCTTAGAGGTACCATTTGTAACTGGGTGTTCCGCTGTTGTGGTTCGCTCCTGGTTTAGCAGGCAAGCAGAAAAAGGCACAGGGCTGGATGGGCTGGTCCTTCTGGTCTGTTACAGATGGCTATTTTAAAAGGCTCCGGTAGGCTCACAGGCATGTGCCTGGGAGTTCCTAGCCTGCACTTAAGAATACCACTAAGAGGAATGGACTCCTTGGTTCCACACTCACAGCAGTTGCTGTTTTAGCTTCCCTGGCACACACAGCCTGGCACATCAGCGGTCCTGCCCTCGAGCAGCACGGGCAGTGGATGATGCCCTAGCAGTCTCTATGGCTCTTTTGCCCTCTTAAAAACCAGCATGGCTGTGCCAGACGGTTTGATTGCTGGGGGAGCAAAAGTAGACTCAGTGCCACCGACAGAGCGTGAACTGTGCTCTGCTGTAACAGAGGGACTATAAATACAGAGGTTGACTTCCAGGAAGCAGCAAAACCGTTTGGTGATGACATCAGCAGGGCCTGGGGCTGGCCTTGCCAAGGCACAGAGATGTGACTCTGGAGTTTGTGTGGAAAAGCAATGATGCTACAGTATGTGGGATGCACGAAATCCTCCCCACAGAGAGGCAATGGTACAAACGGATTTGTGTGGCCACATAGCCCTAGCTGCAGAGCAAACACTGTGCATGTTGATGGTGCTATAAAAACAAATAACTCTAGATCAAACACCAGAATCTTTTTCGTAAAGCTGGAAGCTAATGAAATGTTTAAAACAGGAAACACTGTTTGCTGCCAGCATAGCTTAGACAAATAACTGTATCTACATTTTTCTCACAGTCTGATGTTCTTGTTATATCCCTTCTAACCTGTTCTCCTCGCTGTTTCCTCTGTTTTGGTCTCTGCACTGCCTAACTTCAAGTTCAATTTCTTTAAGTGTTCAATTTGAGGTGGTTTTTCTTTTTTTTCTCTTTGAAACAGCAATTGGTTACCCTAGCTTAGGGCTGCCATTTTTTTTCCTTTTTTTTTTTTTTTTCTTAATACCTTTATTAGGTGTAAGATGTTTTTCTCCAGATTTCTTCATCAGATGACACTTAATCATCAGAATGCTTTATAGAATGGTACGTCAAACTTGCCAACATTTTACTGTTCATGTTCCTAAGACATTTACTGATGGATGGTGGGAGAGTTAGAGCAGTGCTCCCCAGAGGAGGTCTGTACCCCTGACATCTGTTTTAGTAATTCCTCTTACTTGGTATTCTGACTGTGATTCTGCGTTGTTCCCACTGTTGCCCAGGCATTAGCCATTATTTTTTTCTTCTTGGCATTTATTTGCTTTGAAATTTTCATAAATTTCTATGCATATGTCTCACATTTTTTCTCTGTTTTTAAACTTTAAAATAATTTATCTTTGTAATTCAGATACAATATATAGAGAACTGCTTTTAGTTTATTTGTTTGGTTGAAGGGTTTTTTTCCATTTTGGTGGTGGGGGTGCATGTGTTAATTCAGTAAACATTATGTGTCTCCTTATTTAAAACTCCAGTCATACATAGATCAAACTGGCAGCCAAAGTACAAGTCTTCTACTGCGCACACAGAATTATCCATCAGTCTGCTCTAAAAAGGAAAACTCTTTTCCAGAGGTGATTGTGGGTATAACAGAATCATCTTTGTGCTGGTTGACATAGGTTTTTCAAATAGTCTTGTGAAAATAATGATTGCTATTTTGTAGAGGTCAACAATCACATCCAGATGCAGACATTAACACACAAAGAAGCTGCCCCCAACAGGACATTACCATGTACCCTGATATGGACTTGCTGTGAAAATCAGTTTCTGCTCTCCAAGGTGGAGCACACACTGTCATGGACAGTGCATGTGCAGAATTTGGCACTTGGAATTTCAGCACTGACTTGCCAAATAGAGTTGCATCCTCCTTTATATTCCAGATCCTCATGAGCAGCACATATTAAGGCGAAGAACTGACTACTTTCTCCCTTAGGAAGCCTAAGAGAGGGATTTGACTCTGGCTGCTTTCAGCCCACAGGAGCAATCTGGAAAAAAATTCACTGACATGGGTTTTTGGATGTCATCTTTACATCGTATGGGCTGTGGTAGACTAAGCCAAATCCAGAGTTCAACTATTCCCTCAATTTGCTTCTCAAATTAATGTGCTACTGAATGAACTACTTCCCAAATCCAGATGTTTGAAGATATGATTAGTGTCTCTGTTGGCAGATGGGCAATTATTAAATGTGTAACTTTTTTTCCTGACACTCAATTTTCCAGACCTCATCCACATGCTATTAATGAACATTCACCTAAGGATTTTTTGGGTTTGCATTCACTTCAAACATGGGATGATTATTACTAACATATTTCAGAGGAATGGGGAGTTGTTGCATAATTTTTCTTTTAAAAACGGAGAATGACAAAGTTCAGACTTTTCCCTCTCACTCACTGACTGGCTCTTTTATTTTTTTCCCTTGAGAATTCACCACCCAGAATCAAGTCCAATTTTCAAAAGAGCCTACATCCATTAAGTAGAAAGAAGTGGCCAGATATGGTTTGGAGTTTATTTTTTTTTTTTCGGTGGGTTGGGATTTTTTTGGGGCTGTGGGGCTTTGGGTTTGTGGTTTTGGTTTTTTTTTTGTTTTGTTTTGTTTTTCAGAAACACAGCATATTATCTAGCTTATTTGCAGAACTAATGGTTCCCTTAACGGATAGCCAAGAACTTTTGAAAATGTAGCTCCAGTCAAGATTTGGAAAGCTTTCTCTACTTTCCAGCATAGTGCCTGTTGTCTGCAAAACTTCTCACTCTGCTTAATAAATTTCAGTCTAACATTCTTTTTACTCACACAGATGATGAGCATATCGTAAATGGAACACATCACAACCATGGACATGGTGATAGAGGGTTTTTTCTATCAGATCTTGAGGCTCATATCCAGTTAATTCAGTCACCCTGGAAAAGGAAGAATCTATAATAAGCAAAATCCCTAGGAACATTCAGTTTCATTAACTTAATGTTTGATCGTGCCAACAAATCAGGTGGCTAAAAACTGCAGGACAAAATGTTAGTTTTGGAAACAGAATCCTAAACCCTCTCAACCCAGTCAAAGCAAGGTGCAGCTATTCCCTGGCCAGCCTTACACACAGGCAGGAAAAAGAGTTCTTTTACTTATTTCCACTTTGGGCTTTTGCCACCACCATGCATGATCCTTTGCACAAAGATCCAGTTGAGGAGCCATTCACAAAACAATAAAACCACTCTTGTGGACTGCTGACACAGTTTCATTTGCTTTTGCAAACATGCAAGTGTAGCACATAAGTGAGTCCATAGAAACTGTGATCATGGTCTATAAATAAACTCAGGCTAACGCCTAACAGAAGAAGGAAGCAGGAGCTTATTCCAGCTGAGAACATGGAAAGACAAGGAGCTGTGAAGATCACAAGCTAAGAAAAGGAAGGCTGAAGCTAGACTTGAGAAAAACATCCTCACTTGATGAGAAGTAGAATAATGGAACAAATCTGAAACGGTGGCATCTCTGCAGATGTTAAACAGCCAGACTACACTGGTCAGGCTTACACTCCGTCAGACCTGAAGAGTCAAACTTCATGGTTCAAAATGGGCTTTTGTTTATTTAGCACTGTTGCTTGGGAACAAAAATCCTTAAAGTACATTGTGCAACTCAGCCATAATGTGGCTTGTTTACCTAGTGTTGCTGGGGGTGTTTTATGCTGTCCTGGGCTTTCTTCACCTAAAAAGGCAGAACAGAGGTACTATACAAAGGCATGTCTACATTAACAAGCAACACAGTCCATTAGCAGGCAATGTATAGAGTAAAACTGTTACCACTGAGGATCTACTTCAGCAGCAACAGATACATCTGTATATTTTCATTTCAAAACTTTTGCTTGCGACAAGCTCTAGTCTGAGACCTGTGGACTGAAAGCTTTATAATAGTTGGAGTGCCCTAGACATGATCTTGGAGTTTGTCTTCCAGTCTGGATTTATCCAGAAGGAATCCAATTCATTAGCCTAAGGCCTCTTTGTGACACAAAATACAGTGCAACGAGTGGGGATGGTCAGGACAGTCACTTCCAAAGGATGCCTCTGGTCTGAACTTAAACACTAATGAGGATACACTGTATCAGAGAATAACACAGTAGTATCTACATAAATTAATAGAGGGCCCTCAACCAACGAGTCATCAGGGGTTGCAGATAATGTCAATTTTGATTAGCTTTTTTTTCTTTTGTAGCTATTGTGCATCTTCACGCTTACTCTAACACTAAACAATCATGTGGACCCCACAAAGACTGAGGACTTTATATGCTACTTGAGAGAGAGTGAGAGAGTGTTGAGGAGTGGGATTCTTCTGAAGGAAATCAGAAAAACAAAACAAAGAAAAAGCCTTTGCAGTCTGTTTTATTATAAGTACAGTACAAATACATCCGTACCTCCCCTAGCTGTGCCTTACTCTGGGAAACTCTTGCATGCCTTTGCCTCAGCCAGGGACTGCCAACGCAGAGTGAGCTGGAGGATATGTAAATACATGCTCTGCAGTGTGCGCTGTCCCTTCTCGCTTACAATTCTAGAGGCCCAAATTCTCACTCAGGCCTATAAGCGTGGTGAAATACTGGTGGAAAATCCTGCTCAGGTTTCAGTTCTCCTTCTGATTTCAGGGCAATTAAAACAAGGGTAGCAGTCTCATCTTGCTCGCTTAAATGGAAAGTACAGAAATAGCTAATCCAAAACCGAACAAAATGCCACAAACCTATGCCCGGTGTTCTTTTTTCTGCAGGTGCAATCTCACTTTGAACCTGGGCTTCTCATTGGCCAAAAAGCCATCATTAACAATTACAAGGACACATCAGCTTTTGAAAAGTTTGAATCTGGAAATGAACTCAGCTGCTTGACTTCCTTAACACAAAACCAGTCTCCCAGTAAATCACTGTAGGGAGCCTGGGCTCTGAAGATTGTTCTTTGCATGTGACAAGGCAGGCAGAAGGAGACAGAGCTTGCCCAAATTACCTGTTCTACCCTCCAGAGGTCTTTAAAGCCTTTATAAATCATGTAGCAATGAATGCATAGGCTGCACCACAAAAATCAGAAGCAGAAGATCACTTTGGAGGTAAGTCACTGTCTCCTTTTTCCAGTGACCTTGATAAATGTATTCATGCATGTTTTAGGTTGTATCCAGTGTCTAGAAAAGTTTAACTGCTCCATTCTATGGCCTTCCTACTAGCCTGTCTTCAGTGACTGTTACCTCTAAAGATCTAGCAGTGTTTTTACTTGTATGAATGTCAGAAGCAAGTCTGAAAACAGTTTTGTTTTATCCCTAATATGTCCCTGCTCTGAGCAAATATAATTTGGTTTGCTCAGCTGGGAGAGCAAACGGCTTTGGTAGTGCTTAATACCCCTGATTGTCCTATGCGTGGATGACACCCATCTGCTCTTTGGTAAACACAGCTATGCAACAGTATTGGTTCTGTCTGTGCTCCTGTCAACACCTCCAGTTATACTGTCTCATTTGAAGACACTTATGTCTCCAGGCAGTTCCTCTTAGTCACGTCATTTCCTTTTGTTCACATGCAATGACATGCTGCTAACCCCCATGTTCTTCTCTGTAGCTGTTACATTTAGTAAAACATGCCAAAAAAAAAAAAAAAAATTCCAGAAACAACCAGTTCTTTGTATTTTAGCAGCTGATGGCCCACTATATCATTGACTTAGCATGGAGGAAAAGCATGTTCTTGCATGGCTGACCTGCCATGTGAAACTTCCCTGCTGTCTTGGGTACGGGCTTGTTTTCACTGTTATGTATTAACATTAAAATAATTTCTACTTCTTGCAAATCCAGCATGCCAGGGAAATGAGAGAGTATGTAACATACTGCTCCACGTGCAAGGATTTTTGAAGAATGATCATCTTGTCAATAGTCAAATCTTTTACATCAACTGGGAATGGGGCTTTCCTCTCAAGGTATCTTGAACTGCACTGTACAAAGCATTATTGTATACAGTAAGATACCATGTTTCAAAAAGAGAGGGATGAATAATTTCACAACTCCCTTCAGTACTGGTTTTGTGCTCTTCTCTTCTGAGCTTGTACGTGAACTGTATCAGCTGAGAGTGGAGGCAGGGTTCTCGTTCCTTAGCAATAGCCTTTTTCTCACATTTTGTTTAAAAAGGCTGTGTAAGTAGCCTGTTGAATTCATTTTTATCCCAACAAGCCCATTAGTAGAGCTGGTTTCACTGTTAAGGTGTTGCATTAAAGTGCAGAAGACTTATGTTTTCTTACTGCTCAGTCAAAAGCTTTCTGGATAACCCCTGCAAGTCATTTGACCTCAGTGCTTCCATTTATTTTTTTTTTTTTTAATTATGGATGATGATACATTCTTAGTACTTTCACTAGCTTTGTATCTTACAAATTATGTCCTTTAATATAAAAAAGAATTACTGCTTATCTGCCAGTTACTCACAGCAAAAAGGCTTTAGTTGACTCTCAAACTGTAGATAACTACAGGTTAAACTACACAGGCTCTTCTCTGTTTGCATTCAAGACAAAGTATGGTCTACCCAGCTACCTGAAGGGCTTTGAAGACCCAAATGATCTTTGGATTCCAGAACTATTTCAGACTGCTTTATTTTTTCATGGATATTTTAGCCTATATGGAAACCACTGTAGCTTATGGTAACACTTTGAAAACATTTGACTTTGAAAACATTTTATGGTAGAAATTAAATAGCTGCTTACCTGGAATCAAGGAATATTAATTTTAAGTCCAAACTTGCTCTGAACATAAACATGTTACTGTGAAGTTTGATCTCAGTGATGGCACTGGGAGGTAAAGACTGACCTACAGCCACCAGTCCAACAATTTGGTAACAGGAATCATACAAAGACATATCGAGCATGTATTGCCGTATCTTCAAATAGCCACTGCAGTGGATCACCTAGCACGAGAAGGAAACACACTCAGTGTCTGATGGCAATGGAAGAGGCCACAGGTAAGCTTTAATTAGGTTATAAAGCAATACCCCCTTATAACACTTAAATACTGCATTGTCTGTTAAGGCTTCAGAAGTGTGGTTAATTTATAAGTGGAGATTAAAACACAGTAAATGCAGCTTTTGTATTTACTGCCAACATGATTAATCCAGTATTAAAGCACATGCTCTTTGGGAACTATCTCGACTGCTTTCTAGTTAATGCTCTAAACATTTTGATACAGATTTTTTTTCAGAGAGAGTCAGAATTCCTCTTCACTAATCCAAAAATCTGGAAGTTACTTTTTTAAATGTCTCTATCTCACAGAGGTATACATAAACATTTACATTTTAATGAGTTATTCTGATGAAAAACAGACACTTTAAAAATACAGTGGAGATCAATGCCTTACATTTATAAAGATTAACTAGTTTATATGTAAATGCACTATAAATTAATTTTAAGTTCTTCAGTCAAGTTCAGGTGACATTATTTTGACAAGTGACCAAGCCCATGGTCTTGAGACCAGATTCCTGAATCCTTATATTACAATTCCTAATCACAGGAGTGCTAACTTCAGTGTTGGACTGTAAAAATTCACAATGCCAGCTGAAGAGTGAGGAAAATTGTAAACTGAGGACTACTCCAGAACATAAAATTTAATGTAGTGGTGGTGTTTAGGAATCATCTGTGCTCCTGCCAGTTTTCTAGTCCAAACAGCAGGCATACTGAACATCCTTCAGCTTAATTTCTGTATTTGTTTGACTCCTAACCGTGTCCAGTGGAAAGGAATTAAATTCCACTGCATTTAATATGCCTGAACAACCTAATAAATGGTCACCTATAAACAGGCTTCTCCTGCATAACCTTCTTTGCTCTGCTCCAGTCCCCAAGTGATTAGTATGTTTAGCAAAAGTACAGAGCTATCTTATTTAAGACAATCTCTCAGCAGATCTTACTAATTCTCATACTAATTGATTTATGATTTTTTCCCACACTTCAGATAATCAGGCTTATTAATTAATTAATTACTAAGCCCTGACTCTGAAGTACAGTCAAAGAGAATAAATTTAGGCTGACATGTCTCTAGATTAATACTTCATTAAATGTTTCACTGCATAGGTTTTTAATAGTGAGCAAAAGAATAAAGATGATCCCTCTGATTAGCAGTCATAAATGGGAGGAAAAAAAACACATACAGAGATACCACCACTACAAGCTCTACTGTTTTACCTGATTTTAGATTCAGCTTTGGGACAGAATCATTTTTGCTGGGAAGCAGCTGAGCAAACAGGGGTCCATGTAATGAAGAATTATCAGTCTAACCAGGTAGATAACAGTGTAAATAGACAGATATAAGTCTAGACCTTGAATGCATTCCTTAAAAGAGCTCTGCTTCTCTTGCATGCTTTTCTTCTTGTTTTTGAATGACTCAAACAAAATGAAAGCTAGTAAAGCACCCTTCTCTCCTGATGCTTAAGGGATAGAATTATACTGTGTAGCTCAAAGAGCAGCAGATGCACCCTATAAAATTGAAATTAAGAACTATCTGAATTGCAGGTGTTATTACAGTGTCTCAGCATTTGCTATGGCTTCTGACTTCATGTAATAAATTAATATAAATGATAAGATTTGTAAACAGACTTGACGGTTTAGTGCAGTTCAATCTTGAGTTAATAGTAATTGTTGTCTAGGTTAACATTACAGTCTCATTAATGTGGAGGTAATTCTGGTCAGACCAGTGACTGGATTCCTGCCCCACCTGCCTCCAGTTCCATAGGGGAATAAGAACTAGCTGTGCTCTCCTTGCACCTCCATGGCTGTGCTGCACCCAGTTCCCCAGTCTGGAAGATGAGGGATCATGATGTGGGAATGTGCCACAGAGCAAACTACAACTCACTGTGAGAGAGAGTCTAGGCTTGCATTACTCAGGGAATCTGCAATCAGCAGTGGCATTTTTTGCATCTGTTCTGATTCTTTCTATCACAGATTTTGCTTTGAACTATACATGCATCAAAAATGCCTAAATAAATAAGCTTGTCACTTGTTGAATACTAGTGGGGCCAGGGAGAAAGCTTATATACATTACCTTGTAGCCACTGCATGTCAGTCCTGCATTCCTCTTGGCTAGGACACACTTCATTCTCAGGAAAAATGATCTCTCAATTTCATATTCTGAAAGCATAAAGCACACTGCTTATTTATTACTGAAGATTTCAAAACTGTTCGTAACATTGCCTTTCATGTTTTAAGAGATGGGTTTATGTCTCAGCTTTAGGCAGCAATAGAAGTCAGCCATTCTACTTTCCCACTCAGTCTCTGCCCTCAGGATCTATTTCACCTTCATGCTAGGCTTCCCTGTGAAAGTTGGACAAGTCAACATGACTAGGTCTCCAAATTTCTGGTTTTACCACCCTTCATGAGGCACTGACTTTGTTTCTGTACACCTAGGTACAAGCCCATATTGATAAAGCGAAGAAAAATGTTCTTTGAAACATAGGTAAATGAAGGCATTCGCCAAAATAATAGCAGAATGGGAGACAAGAGGTTCATTGGTTTTGTAATAATCTGAGTGTATGTAGCTGGTCATGCCTAAACTGGTGAACTTCTGGCCTCTGTATGCAGTATTATGAGCTCTTTCGCTGACTTCCAAAACCATCTTGGTAAATAGTTTTTAAACAAATGTCTTCATGGATGACCTCCAGAAATGCTTTAAAGTTCAATATTGCTCAGGCACACACATGTTTTCTGCTAAAAATAAGTTACTATTATTGTTAATGTTAAATTATTCTCAATACCAGTTCAGACATCATTAATAGTTCTGACTTTTTTTTTGCTGAAAGTTGCAGTTTGGCAAAACACAACTACACCAGGAAAAGAAAACTCATTTGGTACATCTGTGAATAGGAAAGTCAGGGAAGCAGAAGGGTTTTCAGATTTGTTGCAATGTGTGTTACCTCCTAACTCCCTGCAGGGTTTGAACCAAAATCCACTGTAATTAGTTGGATTCTTGCTTTAATTTGATTTAACTGTTGAGTTGTATTCCCGATTTTTGTGCATCCATCACCCAATTAACACCTCTTAGCCACACACCTGCAGTGGTTTGAGCCTCAGACCACTACCTGGAAACCAATAAACTCTCTGTATTAATTTCAGAGTTTAAAAGTCTGAAGATAAAACCACAAAAAAAAAAAAGAAAAAAATTAGTGAGGAGGGAAAAGAAATTGCAGTATGTAGTGCATCTCAACTAGTATCAGCCTTCCTGAGTATTTGAATTTTCCATTTATCTTCCTAATGCAAATTGGAACCGTATGGGGAAAAACAGGCACTTAAATGAACTGGCACATCTACTGTAGAGTTTTAAATACAAATGTATGCAGTTTGATGGGAAGAAGCCATACAGTACAGATTACTGTTGCTGACGCATGACCTCACAAGTAAAGAATGGAGCTGGGAGTTGGGAACATGGGTTCAACTCGTGGCTGCCATAGAGATTTTCTGTGTGACTGAACACTAGTGCTTGCTCTCGTTCTGCCGCAGTCCCACGCACACAACATAAAGGTAAATTTCTCCCTTCAAAGGGGCAAGGGAGAAAAACAGTTAACACACAGTGATGAGGGTACGAAGACCATCTTCAGACCTGGATTGAGTTGCTAGCGATTTTAATAACTTACATGCTTCTATAAAAAGAGGAGATTAGTGGAATTGGAAGCATTGCCTTAAACTTCTCAAATGTCCTGCCACAAGACCTAAAAGAGTCTCTTTCAGTAACAAGCTCCTTCCAGGCACCTTATTTGTTAGCCTTCTATTTGGCTGCTTCCTTCATTTTAAAAAATGTTGCTAGTACAGACTAGTGCACTGCTGCAGAAATGCTCAGTTAGCTCTAACTTCACTATTCTACTAGAAATAGGTTATGATGCAATGTGGTCTTCAGGTGTCCATAAAATTAGAGTAGTACCCAGAACTTAGCATAACATTTTTCATTTGTTATTCAAAATCAGTAGTTATTAATTAATTATTTAAGAAGAAATCTTGTCTCCCTGATTTCATGATGGTAGACGGTAAGCAAGAAGTTCCCCCGGAACACCAGTCCGGGTAACTAGCTACAAGCTCTCTAGGAAACCAGGAACATGACTAAAACAATTAATGACCAAACATGCTGTGTAGTGTAGGAGGACAGAGTAAAGAGGGCTAGAGTTGCACCCTAGTACTAAGTGGTATGGGGAGGGAAGCATGAAAGAATTGTAATTCAACAGCAGCTACATGTGATTTGTGAAACTGAAGAGCAATAATCTGTAGCTTTGTCATTTGGTGCAACCAAGTGCAAATTATATAACTGTAATTTCATAATGATGTGTTAATAAATTGTTAATCATTGAATTATGAGGGGTTTAGTAGTGTGTTGCTGAACCAACAAATACTAGTCTCTTAAGTCAGTTGCATCTCATGCCTGCCATCTGAAGAGGGAAGAGTTACCCATGAGGTAACCAGAGAGTCACTTGTGAGCTTCTGTTTTGGAGGCTTGAGCTAGCTGATATTAAGCTAACGAAAGGTGAGATGGTCCATGTGGCCAAACTGAGTCTGGGCCTTGGCTGACAGTCTGCCTTTTTACCTGGAGAGACCAAAGTAGCGTATACCTGATGATAAACATTCCTCTTCCTTTGTGTATTAAGAGTGAACGTGTCTGTGTGAGAGCCCCTGTGTGAGTTGCAGTTTTGAGGGAAAAATACCATAATATGTCTAAAGGAGAAAAAGAGAGCCTGACCATTCTTGGGTGGTCTCGGGCCATAACAACTGTTTCCACAGTTATCTGGTAATGCAGCATGCCACATAGCACAGGTGGAAGCAGAGCACCACAGCACTTTTAACCAGCCAGCTGAGATGATTGTTACATGGCTGGTTAAGTAGTGGCTGTGTCAAGGTACCCAGTGAAGAGTACACAGGTGCTACATGGCATCTGGTGTCATGTTTGCAGGATTGGAGCTGAAGAACGCAAAAGCTAACAAAGAGAGATCCTTGTGAGTGTGTGTGTGCAGCTGAGTATAAAATCTACTAGCAAGTTTTGAAGCTGACTCATTGGGAAGGAAGAGCGGGACCAGGCCATTCACGTTGGTTATGCTTACGAGAGCTGTTGGTGCGTACATGGTGCCTGTAAAAGCACTGTTCTGTTCTCCGTGTTGATCTGTCATTGGTGGGCTCTGTGTGCATACGAGTGTTTGTGTGTGCCTACTGGCAAGAAAACCATCTCCAGACCTGATCAAGAGACTGTAGAATAAAAAGGAGCAGTAAGACCAACACCCTCACAGAAAGAACCTAGGTGTGCAAGACTGAACAGTGTGAATCAGTGTTCGTATTAACTGATATCTTTGCCAGTGTGACTCCCTAATATTCTTGAAAGTAGCAGAAGGGGGTAGCAAAGCAAAAAAGAACTAAGGTAAATTTGCAGTTGTAAAGCTGATTGGAAAATAAAGAGCCGCAGTATCCTGCTGGATGCTAACATGTCCATCAATATAATGCAAAACGGAAAATATCACATGCAGGCTGTACCTGATGCAATTAATATGGTCTACTCTGGTGAAGAGAATGTAGAAAGAAAATGAGGCACTTAAAGGTTTAGCAATCAAAGAGGAAGATGCTGAATATTCAAACAGGAGAAATCAGACAAACTGTGCATGCTGTCCTGCTGCAGAGGTTAATCACAAAATTGTGAGGACATAGTAGGTGTGAAAGCTCAGTTATAAAGCAGGAAAAAAGCCGGTAGCATAAATAGCCAGCACCTGCTGTAACAGCAGAATGACTGGGTATGTCCAGGGGCTTAGCAAAATTCTCAAATTAAGGAAGACAAAAAAACAGTAAATTTAAAATAAGCACTCTGGGCTTAAGTAAGAAGTGTAATGTAACTAATTATTCTTAAGGATTTTTATCAATTAGAATCAAGTTTTGAAAAACCAGAAAAATATAACAACATACAGCAGCTAGACCCATCAGTGTAATTATTGATATCACTAGTGTTCTTTCAAGTAAACAAGTAAGCACAGTACATATAAATAACAGAAAGAATCTTAGGCTATCAAGAAGGTAGACAGAGAGGAAACCAGTCTATGTGCCACCACTTCTTAAGTAGTTAAAGGCTGAGAAAACTGTGGGTTAGGCACATGTATATGATACTTAAGAGAGAGAACAATGAACACTAAAATGTTATGTCTGAACCAGAATATAAACAACACTAAAGGAAAATAACTTTCTTAATTATTAGAGAATATTCATGCCATCTAATAACAGAAGCTTAACCACTGTCTTTAACTATTCAGAAATGTAAACTATATAAATGCATCACTGTAGGTGATGTTAACACCTTTTCTTTAATGTTACGATCTTGTGTTAAAAAATATATATACAAACTTCATCCGTTTTTTATAGAGACATGATGAAACCAACAGGTTGCAGGGTAATGAACAATAAGAAACAAAATGCTACTGAGTAGACTAGAAAGTCTTATAGAGATTTTCCAGCTGAGCTAGCACAAAAAAAAATCCCAACTATTGATAAAAAATCTTTGTTGGTTTTTGTCTCCCATATGTATCACAGAAGAAAAGGCAATCCATTCAAACTTTATGGACACTAGTAACTACATATTGTTCAACTTTTTTTTTTTCTTTTGTGAGAAGAGAGAGTAGGAAAACCAGATCCAGTGTGAGGATGTTTTCATCTTTAACAAAAGAAAACCCATTTCTTCGCATGAGGTTACATATTATTATTAGTGATAATGATTAAAAGGACATGATTGCAGCACTGTAATCTCCACGTATGTACTTTGTAAGGATGTAACTTGATGTATTTACAAAACAGCATTTTCAGAACTGACAGAAACAAAGGATATTTCATTAAATGGGTTGCCCAGGGAGGTGGTTGAGGCTCCATCCCTGGGGGTCTTTAAGGCCAGGCTGGATGAGGCTGTGGGCAGCCTGATCTAGTGGGAGGTGTCCCTGCTCATGGCAGAGGGGTTGGAACTGGGTGACCCTTGTGGTCCCTTCCAACCCTGACAGATTCTGATCTGTTTTAGCAGAGGACTTTAGAGCCCTAATGGCTCAATGGTTGGGCTTGATGATCTTAAAGGTCTCTTCCAACCTAAAGGATTCTATGATTCTAAGTATAACAATGTCTCTCATGGTAAA